TCTGCATCAAAGTTCATGGGAGATGGCTTGACTGTGCTGAATTATTAACTTTTTGGTACTATTATTTTTGATATTAGTAATATAGCTGTATTGCCTCATAAACATGAGTTGGTGAATTTTCCTTCGATTTTCTGATAGGTATTTTATAAAATTTGTAGTAAGTCTTCTTTGAATATTTGCTAAAATTTTCTAGTGAAGGATTTGGATTTTTTATGGAATTTTAAATTATAAGTTCAATGTTCAAAACCGTTGTAGGACTATTCAGATTATCTATGTCATCATGGCTAACTTTTGGTAGTATGTGCCTTTAATGGAGATGGTACATTTTTCTAAGTTGTTAAATTTATGAGAGTAAAGCTCTCTTAGTATTTCCTAATTACCCTTTCAGATGCTGCAGGATGTTGTATGATATCCCGTTTTTCTTTCCTTGGTAATTTGTGCCTTCTCTTTGGTTATCTTTGACAGTTTTGTTTGAGGTTTGTCAATTTTATTGTTTTTTTTAAAAAGAACTAGTTTTCTTTTATTGTTTTTCTGTTTCTAATTTCATTGCTCTCCGTTATATATTCTTCTATAGACCACCCAGCTGTTTTATATTCCTTCCCTTTAAAATTTTCATTTTTTGCCTTTGACTAGTTTGTGTTAATTTTCTATCCTTTATGAATTTTTGAAAGCTTCCATAATCCTTCCTTGATATAAGTCAGTGAAGAAACATCTATGTAAGGATAAAAGTAGTTTCTATTTTCTCTTTTCCTCATGTGATATAGTATACTTTGAATACACTTTCCTGTTTCACTGTAAGGTCAACAGCAATGCTTCATTAGACTGCCACTTTAGTTCATGGAGTCTTATTATTACTTTAATACTGAGGCTTCAATTTGTACTCCTAAAGAAGTAACTTCCACATTTTGTGTTTTCCTTGGCAATGTTTTGAGGTTGGTTTGATGATTCTTACTATTCATATGCTGCCTCCTTCTGCAGTGCTACACAAAAATAAATAGCCTGGGACAGAGCTCCATTCTCCCTGGCTCCATGTGTGTGGTCCCTCCGCCTGAGCTCTTCCTTCAAGTTGCCAGTGCCAGTGTGTCTTTGACTCGGGTTTCTGGGCTGTCTCCTCACTTGATTGATAGTCACTAATTCTAAATCAATTCTGTGCTCCTCAATATCATGTCATTTAACCCTCCCAAGGAAATCAGGAGGCATTTTTTTATTACTCTCACTTGACAAGTGAAAAAAAGCAGAACTGTGCAAAGGTCAGGTGCTTTGCTCAAAGCTGTTCAGCATTGTTTAGTAGGTAGGAGTTCAGATTCTGGAGCCAAAATGCCTTGGTTTATATTTGGGATCTGAACTTCACTAGTTGAATACCTTAGGCAAGACACCTCACTGGACTAAGCCTTAGTTTTCCATTCCAAAAAAACTGGAATAAACAATGATGTGGTTGTTATGAGGATTAAATGTCATAATCCATATTAAATGTCTAGACTAGTGCCTGGTCCATTGTAACTGCTCAATGAAAGTTGGCTCCAAGCTATTATTATGGCACAGGTTCTAAGCGGAAGAGCTGGAGTATAAACTCAGGGGTCTTTGGCTCTCAGTTATATTCTCTTAGCCAAACATTAGACAAGCTGACACTGTAACCAAACAGTTCATGGTTAGTGAAGTAAGAAGTAGTATTCTTTACTTCTTTGGTTGAGTAGTCATCATGGGACAGCTCTGGTTTATAATCTCATCATCTCTTCAAATAACCTTACATTATTTAATCTCATTCAGTGTTCTTTCTTTGCATTAAAATGGACATAGCAATACCTTCAAGAGTCATGAAAATTAAGGAAGTTATTTTATTTAAAAGGTTTAGCAGAATCTCTGGCACAAGTAGTTGCTTACTAAAATATTGTTGAATACTCACTGTAGCAATAATCGGTGAATAATAATCATATAAAATTATGAAGAAATAATTATTATAGTAAACCAAATCTGGTTGTTCAATACCTTTTGTCTTCAAGGAAAGTAATTTTTGTAATATGCTTGATTTTTCCCCCCAGAGAACTAAAATATCAAATAATTAACAGAGAACATCTACCTATCATATAAACCACCTATAGAGTTTCAATGTTCCAGGCAAGCTAATATGCCTAGCCTTAGACAGAAAGAGCACAGTGTGAACTAATCCAACCCCAGCTGTCAGTCTTGGCCTCATCATTTGATGTTTTTGGCAGACTGGATGAAGCCAACGACCCAAGGCTTAGGTGGATTGATCCTTTTCATTTGAAGGGGCTGGGTTGCAGGGGAACTGGTTCCTTGCATTTGGATGGGAATGATGGTAAGAGGTGAAGCACTAAAACCACTCTTCGTGGTCCCTCTGTCTTGTTCTCATTCCCCTTCTTAGGTGCAAACTAAGATGCAAGAGAACTGGGTTTTATTTTCAGCTCTGTTGTTGACTGTACAGCTTCAAAACATCACAAAACTATTATGGGTTTCATTTCTTTTCATCTGGAAAATGACATTATGCCTTCTCATTAGGTCAAGGTGTAATGTAAAAATGCAAAGTTAGTACAGATCCAGGATCAGCAAACATTTTTTTAAAAAGATTTATTTTATTTATTTGACAGAGTTACTGAGAGAGAGGTAGAGAGAGGGAGAGAGAGAGAGGTCTTCTATCCGCTGGTTCACTCCCTAAATGGCTGCAACGGTCTGAGTTGAGCTGATCTGAAGCCAGAATCCAGGAGCTTCTTCTGGGTCTCCCACGTTGGTGCAGGGGCCCAAGGATTTGGGCCATCTTCTACTGCTTTCTCAGGCTATATCAGAGAGCTGGATCAGAAGTGGAGCAGCCAGGACTAGAACTGGTGCCCATATGGATGCCAACGCTGCAGGCTGCGTCAAAGTGCTGGCCCCAAACCTTTTATTTTTTCTTTCCTCCCCTTTTCTCCCCTCCCCCTCCCCTCCCCTCCCCTCCCTCCCCTCCCCTCCCCTCCCCTCTCCCTCCCCCTCTCCTCCTCTCCTCTCCTCTCCTCCTCTCCTCTCCTCTCCTCCTCCTCTCCTCTCCTCTCCTCTCCTCTCCTCTCCTCTCCTCTCCTCTCCTCTCCTCTCCTCTCCTCTCCTCTCCTCTCCTCTCCTCTCCTCTCCTCTCCTCTCCTCTCCTCTCCTCTCCTCTCCTCTCCTCTCCTCTCCTCTCCTCTTCTCTTCTCTTCTCTTCTCTTCTCTTCTCTTCTCTTCTCTTCTCTTCTCTTCTCTTCTCTCTTCTTTTTTGCACAAGGCCAGATATCTTAGGCTACTTAGGCCACAGTGCCTTCAGTTGGATATTCTTTGTTGTGTATTATAACCATTTAAGCTTGTAAAAGCCATTCTTAGCTGGACCACAGGTTGTCATTTGCCGTGCTCTCTATAGAATACAAGAATAAGAGACCTAGAGGAAATCTTATTCAATATTCTCATTGGATGACCAGAAAACAGAGATAACCCTGAATAATGAGTAACCTTTCTGTGGCCTCATACTTTTAAAGAAGGCAGAGTATGAGTAATTACGAAGGATTTTTAGTGTTTATATTAGGCCCCTGTTTCACCTTATATTTGCTTTTATTTCAAAGTACCATTGCAAATAGTATAAATAAATTATAAAAATTGAAAATAACAGCTTTGGAAACTTTTAGAAATTTGACTCTTCTGGAAAGTTTTCTGAAGGAAACTCCCTGCTCAGGAACACAAGCTGTATCACACCTTCCCTGCCATTAGTGTTTATGTGTCTAGATTCTGTTGTTTGTTTTTATCTCACTATCGCTCTCAGTACATGGATTTTAAGTAGGAACAGAAAAACTTTATTTTCAATATTCTATGTGTATCAAAGGAATTTTGAGATGAGGGAAGACTTGTCATTAAAATCTTAGATTCTTGTTTATATCTATGGATATTTTCCTACTTCTTCCTTGTCGGTTTATTGTATGTTCAGCTTCAGCAGCAGGGATAGAATCATAATTCTTTAGTGTTGGGAAACATCGTCATTGGCAAAAGATCCTTTCTTCCTCCCTCCTTTCCATTTTCTTTGGCTATTTCTAAAGACAATTTGGGCAGGAATTATGCCTGCAGAGAGACTTGAGTTTCACCCTGCTGGTTCATCCTCTATAATGGCAACACCAGATTCTTTTGTCTTTAGCTGCTGGTTGGTATGTTTGGTTATAGGGACAGTATGTTTCTTGGCATGCCACCTTTGTCATGATACTTTTGATACATTCAATTAAAGAAAATGCCTTTCTGGGGTCCTAATTAGGGACTAGCCAAAGCCAAACATCTTTCTTATAACTAGATTGATCCCAGCAGAGAGAGCATTCAAGTAGTTCAAATAAATACACGAAAGGAGACTCTTCAAACCTCTGGATTCTGAGAAAACTCCTGAAGTGTGTGCACACTATGTGCAGAAGTAGTATCACTGGATGTCATTGGACAGTCTATTAAAATCAAAAGAATAATGAGTTGGAAATCAGGAGTCCCAGGTCATTGTGACCTTGGGCAAGTCCCTTCACCTCTCTGTCTCTTGTCTATCTAGGAGGGAGGAAATTAGATTTGGAATTGTAAGGTAACAGAACCATATGCCTATTTTTCTTTTTTGAACAATTGTGGAAAAAGTAGTGCAGTAATTGAATGCAGTGTTGTTCCCGAATGAAAGAAAAACTGGGAAGCCTACTGCTATAGCATTATTATCATATAACTATATACATATAGCTCCTACCTATTGGATATTTACTATGTGCCAAGCATTCTACTAAGCATTGTACCTGGAATATCTCATTTAATATTTGCTCCTATTCCATGAAGTGCTAATACACATATCAATATCCCCATTTTAAGGAAGAAAGGGACGCCCAAAGTGATCGAGTGCTAGTCAGATTCTTATGCTGCTTTACCTTTCTATCATGCTCTTTGTAAGGAAAAGCCTCTCCTGTTGCATATGGTTTTGGAAAGACACCTGACTAAAGATCTCAGGTTTCTTCTTTTTCCTTTTATCTTTTTAGGCCACCTCGAGATTTAGACTCCAAGGCTTGCATTTCTATTGGAAATCAGGTGAGAGAAGTCATGCTTACCATGAATACTTTCGGGCATTTTATGTGTATGCTTTCTGACTGGCCACTGAAAAGGTTACTTTTTGTAACATTTTGTCAAGGGATGAACCAAAAAAGTTTGAATTTCAAAGAAAGTAGTCCCAACAGAAAGAAATGATTAACGTTAAAGTGGTGGACCAGTCACCCTGATCTAATCATTACACCTTGTATCCAGGTCTTGAAAGATCATATTGTGTCCCATAAATATGTATAAGTATTATGTCAACTAAATTTTTTTAATTTGACAGATAGAGTTAGGTAGTGAGAGAGAGAGAGAGAGAAAGGTCTTCCTTCCACTGGTCCACCCCCAAATGGCCGCTATGGCCGGAGCTACGCCAATCCAAAGCCAGGAGCCAGGTGCCTCCCCTAGCCTCCCATGTGGGTGCAGGCGCCCAAGCACTTGGGCCATTCCCCACTGCCTTCCCAGGCCACAGCAGAGAGCTGGACTAGAACCCAGTGCCCATATGGGATGCTGGCACTGCAGGCGGAGGATTAACCTAGTGAGCCACGGCACCAGCCCCGGACTAAAAATTGTTAAAAGGATAAAAAATGACTAAAAATCTAGACAGTGAAGGGTGGTAGTATGTGGCTCTCCTGTTCTGTGTAATGGTGAACTGAAATCAGGCTATTGTGGTTCTGATCGGAGGAGCTGGAGGGTAGAGATGCTCTTGGAAGGGCATTTCTCAAAGGCCATAGATCTATTTTCTATCAGTCCGTTGTGGATGATAAATGTATTTAAAAGAGAATGGTTAAGGAACTGCAGTGTAGATGGCTTCAAATAAGCTATTCAGAAGCTGGGTTGGGTGGAGTTGAGTCTCTGTGTTGCCTGTGACAGGCAGGTGGCCTGCTGTGGGAGCCTTCGCATCTCCTGGCACTTCTTGTAACTCTGTGTTTGAAGCAGCTGCTTTGACATGCCAGGAAAGCTTCCAACCCGGAAACAACCCTGAGAACACTGTGAGACGCCGTAGTGGACTACTGTCTGTGTCTACTTGGTGCATCTTTTCCTATTGGGTTATTATTATTATTTTTTATCTTGCAGAACTTTGAGGTTAAGGCAGATGACCTGGAACCTATAATGGAACTGGGACGAGGTGCGTACGGGGTGGTGGAGAAGATGCGGCACGTGCCCAGCGGGCAGATCATGGCGGTGAAGGTAGAGTTGACATTTCCCCAAATGTTTTTTATCTGCGGTGTATACATTTGTCCATCTCAACTGTGAACCAGCCCTTTGCATAGAAGCAAAACAATCTTTGATAGGGTGAAGCAGAAAAGATTAGAGCAGACATGTGGCCTACCCATGAGATGCCTGCTCCCCACATCAGAGAACTTGGGTTTGATTACTGGCTCTGGATCTTGAATATGTCTTCCTGCCAGTGCAGACCCTGGAAGGCGGCAGTGATGGCTCAAGTAATTGAATTTTTCCACCCATGTTTTAGGCCTGAATTGTGATCTCAGTTCCCTGCTTAAGCCCCAGCCATTGTAGGCATTTGGGGACTGAACCAGTGGATGAGATTCTCTCTCTCTCTCTCTCTCTCTCTCTCTCTCTCTCCATCTCTCTCCCCCCTGCCTCTGTGATAAAATCAATAAAATTTAAAAGAAAGAAAGAACATGTTATTCCAGAGAACAGTATTTCCCTATAAGTTATGGAAAATGGTTACTTGCTTTGAGTTGTATCTACTTCATATTTTTTTTAAAAACTAGGTCTCCCTCCTCTCTCTCTCTCTCACTGTCTAACTCTGCCTGTCAAAAACAAAACAAAACAAAACAAAACAAACTAGGTCTCCTTTACCTCTCCTTCTACCATTGAAATGATTTTTTTTTTTTACACAACCACCATATCATCATCGTATGTAAAAAGTTACTACTTCCTTAACCTCATGTAATACTTGGTACAAATTAAAATTTCCACGATCAATTTGAAGTGTTTTTATTTTTTTGACCTGTTGGTTTTTCAAATCTGCATCCAAGCCAAAGTTTACCTGTTGCACTTTGTTACTATGTATCATGAATGTCTTTTTCTGAATTCTGTTGCTTTTAAAGAATTTTTCTTGAAAATCAAGAAGCCAGAATTGAGAGTACAGAGTATCTCCATTTGTGGAAGAAGGGAGGACAAATCCTTCTAGAGTAAATCTGCAGTATTTGTGAACTATGGAAAGACATCTGGAATCATCTCCTGTTCCTTGAGTAGATACTGGAAGGATCTTAGAAAAGATCACCATCTCTAGATGAGCAGATGGATTTGAGTCATTGTTGGGAATGGCCTAGTGACTCAGATCTCTTAGCTCCTGGAGAATGGAGATTTCTTCCCCTTATCTTGTAGATTTTCTAGTCTGTTCATCCACTGACCCTTTGCTAAGTATGCAAAAAATGTGAAGACAAAGGATCTCTTTCCTGTCACTTAATAACATGATCATATTTCTGGAAGTCTCTGCTGGTGAGACAAGTTTTTCTTCTCTCAGTAGCACTGGGATAGGCACCAACAGCTTTTCTGCTTCTGCTTGATTGCATCTTTTCCCTATAGCTGTACTGATTTTCTTACCATAGCTGTTTATTCCAGATACAGTCAACCCTCTCCATCCATGGGCTTTACATCTATGTATTCAACCAACTGTGTACTGAAAATATCTGGGGGGAAAATTGTCAGTATTAAACATGAATAGACTTCTTTCTTGATATTTCCCCCTAAACAATACAACAAAAATTTGTGTAGCATTTACATTGTATTAGGTATTATAAGTAATCTCTAGAGATGATTTAATGTATAGGGGAGGATGTGATATGTAATATGCAAATACTATGTCGTGTTATATGAGGAACTTCAATGTCTATGGATTTTGATATCTGGTGGAGGGTGTGGTTTCCTATAAGCAATCTCTCAGAGATACCAAGGGACAGCTGTGGCTACTGCAATTTTACAGGTTCCCAAAGTTGGGCTCTGGGATATTTTTCATATTAACCCAAAAATAAGTAGCAAAAATAATTATGGACTCTATACATCCAATAGAAAGAATACAGTAAGCCAAATCAGTTTGGTAGCCTGGAATATATTCCCAAACATTTTTCTTTTTTTTTTTTTTTTTAAGATTTTTATTTATTCCTTTGAGAGGTAGAGTTACATATAGTGAGAGGGAAAGAGAGAGAGAAAAGTCTTCCATCCACTGGTTCACTCCCCCAGTGGCTGCTACAGCCAGAGTTGAGCCGATCTGAAGCCAGGAGCCAGGAGCTTCCTCTGGGTCTCCCACGTGGGTGCAAGGGCCCAAGCACTTGAGCCATCCTCTACTGCTTTCCTAGGCCACAGCAGATAGCTGGATCAGGACTGGAACAGCCGGGACTAGAACCGGCACCCATATGGGATGCCGGCACTGCAGGCGGATGATTAACCTACTGCACCACAGCACCAGCCCCCAAACATTTTTCTAATCTCCAAACATGCTATCAATTTTTTTTCTTAGTAAGAACTGTTCAGGAAATCAAGTAAGTAACAGTCTTTATTATTTTTTTCTCATTAAAACTATTCACTTGAGAAGCAGAGAGAGCTACAGAGAGTACTTCCCTCTGCTGTTTCACTTTCCAAATGCCCACAATGACCAAGAGTCGGCCGGTGCTGGATCCCGGAGCTTGCAACTCAACTCAGGTCTCCCGTGTATGTGGCAGGGACACAATTACTTGAGCCATTACCACTAATTCCCAGAGTCTGCATTAATAGGAAGCCGCATCAGAAGTTGGTATCAGACTCAGGTACTTTGATCTAGAATGATGGTGTTTTAACTGGCATCTAAACCACAAGAATAAATGTCTTCCCTTTTCCTTATTTTTCCTTTTTTACAAATAGCTGATTGCTTAGAGTTGATATTCAAAGTGCTAGGAGCTGTGTTGTGACGTGTTGTACTGTTCTTACGATGGAACTCCTTAAGGTCCCCGTTTTATTAAGTGACATCCTCACAGTAGTAACCATAAATTTTCCATGCATTCCCATTCAGCGGATCCGGGCCACAGTAAATAGCCAGGAGCAGAAAAGGCTATTGATGGATTTGGATATTTCCATGAGGACAGTGGACTGTCCCTTTACTGTCACCTTTTATGGCGCCCTCTTCCGGGAGGTAGGTGATCCTTCAATTCAAAGCCCAGAGAGACTAACCACTTACAAAGAAGCTTCTCTGGACACATGAGTCCCATACACATCATGGTACACTTTCTTATCAGTCTTGACTTGTGTGGAGGATTTTCCACTTGTGCAACCCTGCCATGCCCTGGTGTTAGTTTGGCTTGAAATTATGGGATTTCTAAGCATCCTTAGCCCCTTTAAAGATCCTGAGGCTCTCTTTTGTTTTCTGCTTTGGTTTGTCTATTTTGGTAGAACTATCTAAGTCAGTAGATTGACTTGCATTGATTTCTTTTATTTCTGTGCTTTTAAATAATATTTTTAATTTTAATTTTAGTTTTTAGCATATGCAATGTGATTTTAGATGAGAACATAAGATATTCCCTTCCTTCCTCCTCCCACCTTTCCTCTCCTCTGCCTCCCATCCTCCTTCTTTCTCCCTTTCTGTATTATTTTTTTAGTTTTTGACATAACATTTTAAATTTACATTACAGTAAAAAGGCTTAACACTTCACTGAATAAGAAGTTTAACAAGCAAAAAGACCCTAGTTTTGTGGGCATATAGGCAACAGCTGTGTACAATAATTGAATAGAAAAATGACCATTTTACCCATATACAGTAAATTTTAAAGTAATCACAGGGGCCAATGCTATGGTGTAGCAGGTAAATCTGCCACCTGCAGTGCTGGCATCCCGCATGGGCGCTGGTTCAAGTCCTCGCTGCTCCACTTCCAATCCAGCTCTCTGCTAAGGCCTGGGAAAGCAGTACAAGATGGCCCAAGTCCTTGGGCCCCTGCACCCATGTGGGAGACCCAGAAGAAGCTCCTAGCTCCTGGCTTTGGATTGGTCCAGGTCCAGTTGTTGAGGTTATTTGGGGAGTGAACCAGCAGATGGAAGATCTCTCTCTCTCTCTCTCTGCCTCTGCTTCTCTGCAACTCTGCCTTTCAAATAAATAAATAAAGCTTTAAAAATAAATAAATAATCACAAATCACTAAAACTATAGTAGTATAACATTCTTAACTATTTGTTTCACAAAGATATAAAACACAGTTTTACAAAACTATATCTGCAGCAGTACTGATACACACATTTTCTGCCTTCCTTCCTTCCCCATTCCTCCCTCTTTTTCACCCTCCTCCTCCCTCCCTCCCTTCCTTCTTTTCCTTTCTTGTTTGTTTTTTCAATTTTACTCCCACATATAAGGGAGAACATGCAGTATTTTTTCTTTCTGAGTCCAGTTTATTTCACTCATCATGTTATCCTCCAGTTGTATCCATTTTGCTGCAAATGGTAGTTTCATTCTTTTTATAGCTGAATAATATTCCATCAGATATACATACCACATTTTCTTTATCCATTCATTTTAGGATTGACACCTTGGTTGGTTCCAGATTTTGGCTGCTGTGGTCAGTGCTGCTATAAATGTGGTGGTGCAGTATCTCTTTGATACACTGTGTTCAAGTCTTTCAGTATATACCCAGTAGTGGTGTATGCCACTAGTTTTTTAGAGAAATCTCCACACTGTTTTCCACAGTGACTGCACTAATTTACATTTCCATCAACAGTATTAAAGTGTTCCCCTTTGTCTACATCCTTGCCAGCATCTGTCACTCCCTGTTTTGGATTTTAGCTATTCTGACAGAGGTGAGGTGATATATCATTGTGGTTTTGATTTGCATTTCCCTGATGGCTAGTGATGTTGAGTATTTTTTCATATATTTGTTGTGAATTTGTGTTGCTTAATTGAGAACTTTTATTGAAATTCTTTTTCTGTTTCTCAACTGGATTGATTTTTTTTTGTTAAATTTTTTAAGTTGTTGAACTTATTAATCTTTGTCATACGGTTTGCAAACATTTTTTCCCATTCTCTTGGTCCTCTTTTCACTCTATTGATTATTTTCTTTGCTGTGTAAAGGCTTCTGAGTTTGATGTAGTCCCATTTGTTTAGTTTTGCTTTTATTGCCTATGCTTTGGGGGTCTTGTCCAAGAAGTTGGCCTCTACATCAATGTCCTGGAGCGTTTTCCCTACATTTTCTTCCATCAACTTCAGAGTCTCAGGACTTAAATTTATGCCTTTGATCCATGTTCAGTTGATTTTTGTATATGGTGAGAGGTTTGGATCTAATTTAATTCTTCTACACATATACATACATTTTGCTAGCACCATTTGTTGAAGAGATTTTTATCCCTATACTGCCATATGATCTGAGTACTTTTGTCAAAAATCAGTTGGCTATATGTATGTGGATTAATTTCTGGGCTCTCTGTTCTGTTCATTTGATCTGTGTATCAGTTTTTATGCCAGCATCAAGCTTTTTTAATTATGATAGCTTTGTAGAATGCTTCAAAATCAGGTATTGTGATGCCTCTAGCTTGGTTTTTCTTGTTCAGGATTGCTTCAGCTATTTAAGATCTTTTGTGATTCCATATGAATTTTAGGATTTTTTTTCTAACTCCGTTATGAATGCCATTGGTATTTTGATAGGAATTGCATTGAATCTGTAGATTGCTTTATCCTTTGGCCAAATATACGTTTATGAACCCCTTGGATTTCCTTTTATCTTTTTCCTCTACCTCCATTTTTCACTTTGCTGTTACATGAAGTATGAAGCATTACCTCAGTCTTAAAATCAGACTTTTGACCAAGTGTGAGAAATCAGAGATTGATAGGTATCTGGACATCCTCCTGGATGGCAGTGATGGTAAAGGCTTGGGTTTCTAGGATTCTGTTGCTTATGGTCATTAGGAATTAGGTTCTAGTTTCTGTGAATGAGTGAGAGATCAGAACACATTTTACTTGGGTTGCTCTTTGGAGGTAATCTTGCTCACTTAGAAATTCCTTTGAGATCCTGAAGGGAAGATGTGTATTTCCTCCCAAAACTCAAGCAAACAATGGTCAGTTCTTGAGGACTGGTGTTAACTGTTTCTTGTCTTTCCCTTTTCCATTCTCTTTAACAATCCATGAACTTATTGATCTTCAGGGTGATGTCTGGATCTGCATGGAGCTCATGGATACATCACTAGATAAATTCTACAAACAAGTCATTGATAAAGGCCAAACAATTCCAGAGGACATCTTAGGGAAAATAGCTGTTTCTGTGAGTACATCATGAGCAAGCATGAGGAGAATGTGAGCAGTCCAGGCCATGTATGTCTATGTATGTTCAGTATGAAGAAACTCTGCCTGGACAGTAGCTACCTTCCAGCGTGTGCCTGTTGAATGCATGAGTTCATTGGTAGATGGATAAATATTTTTTTTTTATGAGCACCACATAGCAATGTTCCCACTGACTGAGTTTTGTCATTTCCAGGTTAAATGACTGTAAGCAGTGTGTTCATCTGCTATGATTGCATTCCTGTGTTTTCAATTTTTATTTGTAGAGTTTTGGATGTTTTCTTAAGACCAATAGGCATAGAAGAAATAGGAGGAATGACTGTGACCTTAATGGTTATTAAGGCTCAGGAGGGTAAAGAAGGAAAACAGTTCTTGAGGACAAATGAAAACAAGATAGACAGTGTGGGGCATCTTCTCTGCTATAGATACAGTCCTCTTTTGTGGATGGAGTCAATTTGTGTAACTCCCTGTGTATTTTTCTGGATAGGACAGCACTATTTAAGAAAATACCTCACCCTGTCTCCTTAAGCCAGGGATAATAAACCTGGATATACTTGTCATTCAATTCCTTTCCAGTGATAGGGTAAATAAATCTATCTTGTGTTTCTCTTGCAGATTGTAAAAGCATTAGAACATTTACACAGTAAGCTCTCTGTCATTCATCGAGGTAAGAACCATGGAGCTTCCTGGGCTGTTCCTCTTATGAAGTTTATTTCTTTTACCTGGAGTCCCTCCATCCCTCCCCAAGGATGGCTGTGGAGTTGAGTCAGGCAGTAGAACTAAGTGCTTCCTTTGAGGACTGGATAGCCAATCAAATAAGAAGCTTTTTTTTCTTTAACTTGGCTGGGAGCTAAGGAAGACATGGACTTTAAAGTCTACCTAAGCTGAATATAAAGTACCTGTTACTAAGCAGTGCCTGGGATTACATCATTCAGAATTTTGGAAAATAGATAAAAATCCATCTTATATTGACCATCACATGGGGGCTTGTTAGAAAAGCAGAATCACCAAATGAATCAGAATTCTGCATTTTAACAAGGCCCCCAGCTGACTCTTGTGCACAAAAAAAAATGTGTGAAAGTCTCTGGTATAAAGTAGAACCATTTCAGACAGCCAGAAGGCAGAATGAAATGATTTTACACTTCCTTCTCTCCTGCCTTCATTTTTTTCCTTGTGGCTCTTTTGATAGAGAACCAAACGAAAGATACAAAAAGAACATGGGAAAAACATAAACCACCTTACAAATATGACAACATCAGATATGCAAATATAGGTAGAATGGAAAACAGGAACTGTTGGTCTTTGGGAGACAATAGCCAGGGAAATCTTTGTAAAGATGCCTCTGGCTAGGTCTTTGAGAAAATTCATGGAAAGTAATTTCATCTAATAAAACTTTGTGGTTTGGGTAGTTCTTAAACTCTGAGGCTGTAAATAATGTAAAGTGCCTTGCAAAGTATGCCTATTATTATTGTTTTTATTATTACTAATTGTTGTCTTTAAAAATTGGAAAAATAGGAAGAAGAGAAGAAAGTAGGGAGGAATACATATTGGAGAAAGAATATGGACTGCCAACAAATGTGAAACTGATTTTAAGGGTTTATTTTAAAATTATGAAATACTAATTCCTATTGGAGAATGTATATATGATATACAAAATAATAAAATGAATTACATATATATGTCATTCAATCTCAGGAAAAAATTATGAAAGATAATTTTTAAGGCTTTTAGAGTAACTATCTCCTTCTGATTCCATGTTCCTTATAAAGAATGTCATAAATGGAAAAAATAACTATTTTCTAATTTCATTACCCAGATATAACAATAATTCATTTTTTGAGCATGTGAATAGGTAGGTTATATCTTTCAAGTCCACAGAACTCACTTAAAATCCACCTAGTAATGCCCTTTCTCCCATGATCTGCCCCGTATTTCTGGAATACTGGGTTTATTGTGTGTTACCCTATGGTGATACCTGAAACGTCTCTTGCAGAACTGGTTGCTTTGATCCTCGTTAGTGTATCATCATTTTTTTTTTTTTTTTTGACAGGCAGAGTGGACAGTGAGAGAGAGAGACAGAGAGAGAAAGGTCTTCCTTTGCCGTTGGTTCACCCTCCAATGGCCGCCGCTGCAGCCGGCGCACCGCGCTGATCCTGGCAGGAGCCAGGAGCCAGGTGCTTTTCCTGGTCTCCCATGGGGTGCAGGGCCCAAGCACCTGGGCCATCCTCCACTGCACTCCCTGGCCATAGCAGAGAGCTGGCCTGGAAGAGGGGCAACCGGGACAGAATCCGGCACCCCAACCGGGACTAGAACCCTGTGTGCCGGCGCCGCAAGGTGGAGGATTAGCCTATTGAGCCACGGCGCCGGCTAGTGTATCATCATTGTATTAAAATCTACCTTTTCATTCCTTCTTCTACTACTCCTCCAGTATATGTGAAGGTACTTAAAAAATTCATGCAACTAAAATACACAATTATTTTGGTACAGAATTTTTAATGCATACGTAGATTTTTCATAACGCATTTTCTACAAACTTTTGAAGAACTCTTTTATGCATAGATTTCATCTTTTTTTGTGCCAAAATAAACTTATCCTCTAATTTCATTTTCCAGGAACTTTTCAAAGTACCCTGTATGCAACAGATTATTTTGAACTGAGCATGTGGTACAGCAATAGTTTTTTAAGTTCATGGTACATGTATGGGGGCAATGAAGGTGAAAAGCTGAGTAGAGGAAACCATTTTTTTTCCTGATTTTTAATTGCAATCCTTCAAGAAAACTACTAAACATGAAATGGAAAATCAAGCTGAAAGCAGTGAGTAGTGTTTAAGTATGTGTCCAGGTTGACAGTTACTTTTGTCTTGGGCAGCTTAGGGCATAGAAGGTGAAGGGCAAGTAGAGATTTCAGGCCACCTGCTGGCAGAGAGATGAACTTCCAAGCAGGCTGGAATCATGGATTCCGGTTGTTCTTATTTCAGACGTCAAGCCTTCTAATGTGCTGATTAATACCCTGGGCCAAGTGAAGATGTGTGACTTTGGAATCAGTGGCTACCTGGTGGATTCAGTTGCTAAAACAATTGATGCAGGTTGCAAACCATACATGGCCGTAAGTATAGCAGCTGGGGATGGTGTCAGAATGAATGTGCTGGCAAAACTTCCTAGCACCTTCCAGGAAGTACGAAATTGGTGATAGCCACTGAAAAAAAAAAAAAAAATGGAAATGTGCCTGAGGACTCAAGAAATATTCTGTATCTTCTTTATTCCTAAAGATTTCCGGTCTGAAATCCTTAGTCACTGGCTTCATACATTGTCTTAGTGCCTTTGGTCACATTTAACAAAATACGAGTAAACTCAGGGGTGATAAGCAACAGAAATGTATTTCTCACCATTTTGGAGGCTGGGAAGTCTACAATCAGAGTGCTTTCAGATTCAGGGTCCGTTTTTGTCTGGTTCGCAGATGGTGCCTTCTTTCTAGCTGTGCCCTCACATGTGGTGGAGACAAGGGGTTCACTACAGAGCCTCTTCTCTCAGGGCACTGCTGGAGCTGGTGCTGAAGCCTACTCACTACACAAAGGCTCTGCCCCCTAATGCCTGCACATTGGGATGACTTTCAACATTTTGGGGGGACACAAACATTCAGACTACAGTGTTCGAAATTTGTTTTCCTAAAAATCAAAGCAATACACTCTTTGAAAAAACTCACAAGTAATACATACAGCTCACAGAATTTCCACGGTGACTTGTAGGTGAATGTCGCCTTGTTTGTTGAGGACAGGATAGCAAGTAGAATTTAAATCACTCAAAGGAAGGCCATTTCATCGTGAGAGAACCTCACAACTGTGTACATTCATTGCCGTTAGCAGAGACCTTGGGATCTTCGTTAACTGAGGGAGTATCCTGCTTGGAAATGGACTTGTGTTTGGGATTGCAAAGCTTCCCATTTGTCTTTAGATGAAAGCTTCTTGGGTGTGTTCTCACCCGACAGAGCTCGGTCACTCTTGGGGATTCTTATTAGTGTTGGTATATATATTTTTTTTTGACAGGCAGAGTGGACAGTGAGAGAGACAGACAGAAAGAAAGGTCTTCCTTTGCCGTTGGTTCACCCTCCAATGGCCGCTGCGGCCAGCGCGCTGCGGCCTGCGCACCGCACTGATCCAATGGCAGGAGCCAGGTGCTTCTCCTGGTCTCCCATGGGGTGCAGGGCCCAAGCACTTGGGCCATCCTCCACTGTACTCCCTGGCCACAGCAGAGAGCTGGCCTGAAAGAGGGGCAGACGGGACAGAATCTGGTGCCCCGACCTGGACTAGAACGCGGTGTGCTGGCGTCGCAAGGCGGAGGATTAGCCTAGTGAGCCGCGGCGCCGGCCCTACTGTTGGTATTTTTAACAAGAGTAAATCTAGATGGACAAAGGAGTTTTATGACATATAACCTGTTTCTTCTTAGGGCAAAATTAAAATTTGTTGGGAATGAACATTGACCCATTATTGTCTCTGAGAAAAGACTAACATATCTGGAAAACCCCATGGAGATATGGTTATTTGTTATATTTATGGAGTCTTTCTGACCTGAGTCATGTTAGCAGCTTAAAACAGCTCACTTGGCGGTGGTGCTGACCCCCATCCCAAAGACTTTATTGAGCTAAAAATGTCATCTCAGTTATCTTTCCAGTTTCTCACTTGTCTCTCTCCTTTCCAGCCTGAAAGAATAAACCCAGAGCTCAACCAGAAGGGATACAGTGTGAAGTCTGACATTTGGAGTCTGGGCATCACCATGGTAGTGTATGATAATCAACATGGACTTGAGGTTCTGGGAACGAAGCTGCAACGGGTGGATTTTGGGACCAAGCTGCAATATCCTAAATGCTAGCCTTCATCATTCATTTTTGCCTGCACTGGCAGGAGATTTTGAGAGATAATTATTTACAGTGTTGTGAAGTAGAAGCATTGAACTGGTATTGGGCAAACCAAATTTTCTCTTTATTCTACCTCTTAATAATTATATGCCCTTGAGTAAATGGTGTAATTACATGGGCTTTCTGTCCTCATCTGGAAAGTGAGAGTGTTTGACTAGATGCTACCTAGGGTTTAAAATTTAAATTGTTGTAGTTAAGGCAAGAAGTTGAAGCTACAGAAAGAGTCCCAAAGATCTTTGTTATCCAAGACATGGACTCTGCTTCCCAGGGCATTTTTATTTTAGATGTCTTGACTATTGAACAGGTCAGGGATATTCTAAAGACTTGGTAACAAATAGCTCAATGTTCTTTGGCATGGCCCTACATTTATACAAAGAGTGTGTTATTTAGAACTTTGGTGATCATAAATTTTCAGTGTATCACTAAAGTCTAGAATTATCCACAATAGTCCTGGATCCTTTCCAGGCACAGCAGCTGAGTAAATCCCGTGAGTTATTTCACATCTATGCCCAGAAAACACGTGATCCCAGCACAGCAAAGTGGTCTTTAATCAAGTCCAAAAACAGATCAGTCATTTGGTCCTAGATTACTTTTTTCCTCCCTTTTTCACCAACTGACCTGCAGGTGGCAGCAGATGTCCAGCTCTGTCTAGGTCTTCCAGTGTGATTTACTTTTCAGACCAAACATTTGAAAACCTGATTGCTTTAGGTTGTCTTAGAATGTTTGTGAAGCACAACAGTTGATTTTAGTGAACAACTTAGTTTCTGATAAGTTTATTTTAAAGTTTCTTTTGTTTCTTTGAAAGGCAGAGAGAGAGAAAGAGAGAGAGAGAGAGAGAGAGAGAGATCAAATACTTGCAACAGCCAGTGCTGGGTCAGGCTGAAGCCAGGAGCCAGGACTTCCATCCAGGTCTCCTGTGTGGGTGGAGGGACCCAAGTACTTGAGCCTTCACCTGCTGCCTCCCAGGGTGCATGTTAACAGGAAGCTGGACTGGAAGTACAGGAGAGACTTGGTCCCAGGCCTCCTTAACCCACTATACCACAAAACCTACCCAACTTTAGATGAGTTTACATGGCCTTCTGTAGTTAGGTATTATTTTAAAATCACTAACTCTAGGGGCTGGCACTGTAGTGCAGCGGGTTAAAACCCTGGCCTGAAGTGCTGGCATCCCATATGGGCACCGGTTCAAGTTCCGGCTGCTCCTCTTCCCATCCAGCTCTCTGCTATGGCCTGGGAGAGCAGTGGAGGATGGCCCAAGTGCTTGGGCTCCTATACCCATGTGTGAGACCTAGAGGAAGCTCCTGGCTCCTGGCTTCAGATCAGCGCAGCTCCGGCCATTGCAGCCAATAGGGGAGTGAACCATCAGATAGAAGACCTCTTTCTCTCTCTCTCTCTCTGCCTCTCCTCTCTGTGTAACTCTGACTTTCAAATAAATAAATAAAAAAATCACTAACTCTAGGAACTTGGGGAAAAATAACAGTTTGTTTATTTTTCACAAAATTAAACTTGAACTTCAGGGAGATTTGTATTTCCCTCTGGCTTTCCTGGAATGAAACCTGCTGATTGTCTAAGGCAGTCCAGTTTAAACAGTTGTCTCCTTGTTTCCTCTCCTAGATTGAGTTGGCCATCCTCCGGTTTCCCTATGATTCTTGGGGCACTCCCTTCCAGCAACTCAAACAGGTGGTAGAAGAGCCATCGCCACAACTCCCAGCAGACAAGTTCTCTGCAGAATTTGTTGACTTTACCTCACAGTGGTAAGAGAGCCTCATATCCAACTGTCAGTGCTAAAAGAGAATCTTCCACCAGGTTTAGTACATTCCACATACATTCATTCCGATAGCATTTATGGAATACACCCTCTATGCTGGAGAGACAAAGATGACCCTATCACAATCCTTGCCCTCACTGAGCTCAAAGTCTTGTAGGGAAGTCTCCATAATTGATAATTACATGACAATATTGCAAGCCCAGTTATAGAGATCCACATTTGGTATTGGGGGACTCAGAAGAAAGGCATCATGACAGATTCTTCTAGAGGAGATAAATTCTGAGCTGAAACCATTAAAGTTATTTTCCAAGCAGAAGGGAAGTAGGAGATGAAGGTATTCTAGACAGAGCAAATATCATGCACAGTGTCACAAAAGCAAGAAACTCCTTTCTGAGAGTTGTAAGCACATTGATATTGACTATTACATAAATAAAAAGATGGTGGAAACCTCTAGAAGCTAGGGATAGGCAGTAGCTTCAAAGAATCACTTTAAGTGTGAAGATAGTGAATGCTTTGAGAAAGTCACTTAGGTACACAGAAGTGTTATGGAATCTTGGCTCCTACAGAACACTTGCCAACTGTGTATTCACTGCTCCATGAGGATATAATGGGCAGTGTTGCGGGTCTGGTGGAGGCAGATTAGAGAGAGTTAGAGTGGAAAGAACCAACTCTTTGTTTGTATGGAAACTGCCTTTGCCATCAGTAAAGTAAGAGAGAGGATAGTGTTGTTCAGATAATGGAGTGCTTTCCATCTGCATTGCAGTCTGCAGCCTGGAGGCCTAGCCTAACTTCATAGTCATTACCATTGCCAGTGCTGTGCAAAGATGGTGGCCAAAAATGCCCCAAATGAGCCAAGTTAGTTTATCTCGGCATTTTGTTAAAGCAGATGAGAATTGGGATGAAGAGCTGTCAGAGCTGGAGGCAAGCCCAGCTATGACCATTTGAGAGGAGCAATGCTGACCACTCGAGGCTTTGGGGGGCCCCAAGCTCTGAAGGCTCTGAGCTCTGAACTCTGAAGTTGGGGATTCAGAGAAGACTGGAGCAACCCTTTCCTCATGGTGTTGACCTCTATGCCCTTTGGAAGAACTGTTTTGAATAGAGCTTCACTGGGACACATACTGATTCAAGGAACTGTCTGTTATTTTGTAGAACTGAGGTCTCTTGGACAGTGTTAGTTCTAGGTCCCTTCTCATCCCTGACACTTTTTCCTAATGGTATATACGGCTTGTCTGTAGTTGCTTGATTTTGGTTTTGTGTTTGGCTGAATGGGCATGGAGGAGCTGGGGCACTAAGCTCTAATACACTGTTGTTTGGAGCCTATGAAATATGCATCCTCTGGGCTCCTGGGCGTGTCCTGCAGTCTGTTTTCTCTGAGTGAATGTACATCTGCCAGGTTGGAATGGGATCGTGATTTTGCCTTCTGGATTCAAGAACTTGGTTTTTGTTGTTTTGTTTCATTGTTTGGCCTTATCCACAAACGTTTAAAGGTCACATAGGAAAAGGCATGAGTCATCTTGGGTAGTTCAGACCAAGAATTCTCAAGAGAACTGGTAATGGGAAAGGATCTTATCTAGTGAAGCCTCTTCAACATGTGCTCCCTATCTTTCTCCCGAATGTCCCCTTCTAGCATTCTTCGTATATCAAGAAATTTCAGGAAGAATGAGGCTAGTGTAAAAAATTTAAGAAATCTGAGTGTGTTATTTGAATCACTGGTTTAATCCAATGATTCTCAATTCCCCTCCTTTCTAAAACTCCAGGGAACTTTCAGAACTACTATCCTGTGGCCACACCCTCAGAGATTCTGATTTAGTTGGTCTGGGGAGGGGCCAGAATATCAGCATTTTGTGACTGCTCCTCCAGCATTCTAATGTATCTAGGAAAACCGTAGCTTTGGCTTTGAAATAAGATCTGTGCACCTGCTATCAACTGCCTGCTGTTCAGAATGTTTCTTATCTTCTGCAGTTTGTTAAAAAATTTCAATTATTTTTCTTTCACCAAAGTTATTTTCAAAATGAAAGCCTGAGAGAGAAATGTTTTCCAGTGTTAATATATACACACACATGTAGACATTCCAGTTACCAGTATTATTTTATATGGAGACCACACTGTGCCCCCATCCCTCCATAGCACCTGTCGTGTCAATCATGGCCACTTCTCCCAGGTCTCCCTCTCATTTTCGTCCTCTCTGTTTTAGTCTCAGTTACCATAGTTCATTAATTTAGCAGTCTTGAGCTGTGGACATGATCCAGCTTTCCTGGAACTCTTACTTCTGTTAATACTGTTAACTCAGTGTCAGATGTGAATTTATTTCGCTCATGGGGCTTATTAAAAACAATTATAATAGAAATAGAAGCAAAACTTGAATCATTTCAACTTAGAAGTTGTCAAAGACTAAATTTTTCTTCTTCAATCTCAGTATTATAGCTCTGGTCAAATCTGACATTTAATATCAATTTTGTAAAGGAGTATGTCTTTTTTTTTGTTGTTATTGGAATGGGAAGCAGAAGGGAGCATTAATTCTGAAGTTTATGAGCATTCTTACTTACCCTCAATTGAACTTTATGAACATACAAGGACCCCTATTTTAGATACCAGAATAATCCTTTTTTTGAGATTTATTTATTTAATTGAAATGCAGAGAGACAGACAGACAGACAGACAGACATAGAGATCTTTCCACTGATTCACTCACCAAATGGCTGCAGTGGCTGGAGCTAGGCTGGTCCAAAGCCAAGAGCCAGGAACTTCCTACAGGTCTCTCATATGGAATCAGGGACCCAAGCACTTGGGCCATCTTCTGCTGCTTTTCTCAGGCCATTAGCAGCTGGATTGGAGGTGGAACAGCCAGGACATGAACTGGTGTCCATAAAGGATGTCAGCCCTTTAGGTAGTGGCCTTACCAGCTAAGCCACAGCACCACCCCCCAAATTAATCCTTTCTTTGTTGCCATAAACTACTAATATATTTTCTTTGATACCTCCTAAGGATGAACATTAAATTATTTTGAATTAACTGAGTTGAAAGTGTTGTCTAGTGCTTAAAAATGGTACTGATTTTTTCCTTTTAGACTCATGATTGGCTTAGATCTTTGTAGAAGTAATTTTATTTTTTGTATATATTAATGTATGGGTACATGCCTCCACCCTGTCATAGTCTAGTTATTTCACTTGTTTTGTGACTGATAGAATTAGCTTTACTACGGAGATGGCTGGAAAGAATGAAGAGGTGGTTACTGGAGAGCCCCTTTATTACTTGATGAAAAGAGGCTATGCTTTATAACCATGGGCTGATTCTGTATGATCTTATTATCAAAGCTGTACTAATGAAATTCATTCTCTTAAAAGGACTGTTTTCTGAGTGATCTCCATGTATTTTATGACATAATCGGGCTGTAGTCCTTTGAGCCTTCTCAAAAACTCCCAAGTCTTTGTGATAAGTATAGAAAGGGAAACACAGATTTGGAAAATTAAGCATTTAATCTCACATTTTACTTTAAAGAAGGGAGAAGGTTAACCTCTCAGCAGAACTTCTTTCATTCACTGATTTTTACTTATTTGAAATGCAAAGAGACAGAGACAGAGATTGCCCATTTGTTGGGTTACTTCCCAAATGCCTACAACAGTTAGGGCTGGCCCAGGCTGAAGCCAGGAGCTGGAAGCTCATACTTGTCTCTTCTATAGAAGGCAGGGATCTAAGTATGTGAGCTCTCACCTACTTCTCTTGAGAGTGTATTAGCAGGAAGCTGAAATAGGGAGAACTGGGATTCAAATGCAGGCATCCTAAGCTGCATCTTAACTGTTAGGCCAAATGCCCACTCTTGATCACAAATTTCAAGGTAAATCCATCTATGTTTTTATCTCCTACATGGACTAAATGTAGAAAAAGGGTATGTAAGTCACAACCAAGGTAATCTGTCAGAGCATTTGTGACCCTTTGTGGAAGTATCCTACGTAGGTATTCAGTGATGTCACAGCACAGCACTTGCCTCCAGAGAGCAGCCTGACAACCACTCTTCCCTGGTCCGGTACAGATTGCTGCTTGTGAGCTGACAGAAGATCATGGCTTATGGGATGGATTGGAAAGCTGTTAAAGTTGCCATCATCACACCCAAGGTTGCATGTGCAGCCCCAAGTTTTAGCAGCCATATTTCTTGGTAATAATCAGAGTAAAGCTATCTTGAAGGAAAAAAAAGGAAGTTTAGGCATTTATTCTTCATGAACTTGAAGTAAAAACACAGTATCTTCCAAACCTCTCCTTTCTGTACTTATTCTAAAAGAGAACAAGTAGATAATATTTTCTTCCTTTGGTCCCACATGTGATTTCCTTATCATAGATATTTTAAAGAGTTTTTTCATGGTGAGTAGAGCAGACTTATAGACTATGTGTCTGCATAATAGAGAATTCTAATAGAAAAGGCTGGTATTCCAGTCCTACAGAAGGCTTAGCAAAAGAGTTTCTTAAAAAAAAAATAAAAAGTAATCTTGCCAGACTTATGTAAAGGTACTTTGCAAAGTTTGTGGGCAAATGGAATTAAAAGATACATTTATTTTGGTGCATCAATATTGGAAATTCCATGCATAGCTTTTTCAGAACAGGCATTTTCCATGAACTTGTTGAAGTCCCCTCCTTTTTGCGATAACCTCTTCCTGTAGGCTTACAGAAGGAAGTTGCTGGAAACCCACTCCCGACTGCCAAGCTTGCTGGACCTCTTCATTGCATTCCTTCCAGGCCTGCTGAAGAGCTGCAGTGCCAGCGTCAGCCTGATGGTATTTTGGAGTGTGTTGGAGACCCATCCAGATGTCAATACTGTTTGACTGAGAGTAACTAGTATAAAATTGTGATAATCAAGTACTATCTCCTACTTGTCCAGGAAAGACAGTAAAAACCAGCCCTGGGTATTTGTTTAGCTGATGACAAATGTATGGCTTGAGAGACGCAATGTGTTTTGATTCTGTGGATGGACCAAATAGCCCTTCTTGGAAATGATCAGGGGAATTGAAACGGGCAGAAATCCTCTGGTCAGCACAAACTTCAGGCTAGCAATTCTTGAGACAGCCTGAGGCTGTTTTTTAGTGTCAGCTCTGGTCAGAAGCGTGTGTTGTGGCATTTGGAAGAGGAATTAGGGCAGTTAGCTAATTGCACGCTTGAAAATGACAAGCCACTTGAAAATTCAAAAGTCTGATTCAAATCCAAAAAGAAATTGGTGTAGCTTTGAACTCCGCCGTTGTTATTTTATACTGAATTTCAAGCACTTCCTATTAAACATGGAAAATTTGTCTTTTCCCCTAACCTTATCCTGGGTATTTTGCTATTCTTAGCTCATGTTTTGAAGTGTTGTTGATGTGAAAGATGAAGAAAAATAAGCTTTATCAGTTATATCAATTCAATAAACAGCCTGGCTTTGCTGTGTAAAAGTTTTCCTGTAATACTCTGTAAAAGTGCATGGGGGAAACTTTGAGCTTTCTGATTAGGGGTATAAGTCACTGAATAGCCTGTCCTCCAGCAGTCTCTGAGGCTTCAGGAATCCTACACACTTTAGGATGGATTCACGTAGGATACTTTCCTCACATTTTCTATATAGATATTTAAAATGTAAAGTTTCTGGAGAAATTTTCATAACCTGTTCCAGAAGCAGAAAGATAAGACCTTGTGATTAAAAAAAATCACTTTTACTTAAGAAATGGAAGCACTGACGCTCTCCTACCTGTTGGGCAGAGAGTCTCATTTCATTATCTTCTAAATAGAAGGTCAAAAATTAGCACTACCCCAGAAATCTCTAGTTGGTAAAAGAGGCCGTCACTTCGACATTTGAGAAACCAGATTTTCTTCCCTGACCATCATTTCTTTGGTTCTGGTGTTGACCAAATCAAGCTGGGCATGGAAGATTGGGCCACGGTCCTCCATGAGAATGCTTCCAGTTCAATGCAGAGAAAGGATCGAAATAGTGGCACTCAAAGTTAATCACTTGGATACTGAGTGTCAATATAATGTTGTCTTTGTGCTTTTTGTTATTGATTTAGCAAGTTAAATTGTTCAAATTATAGAGAAGAATTTCCAAGTTTTGATTTGTTTGAACATGAGCTCTGGAAATTCAGGGCTTTTGTATATAAGCCTGTTTGTTTTTTTAATTAGGGTCTATGTGCACCCTAGAAATGCTCCTAGAATCATGTTTCTTCTTCAATTCCTTTTTGGTGAACTAGCTTTTGAGCTTAGAAACACTTTCCTTCCTGGGGTGGGGGTGGGAAGTATTAGTAGAGAGATTGTGCCCACAGGACAGAGGAACCAGTTGATGATGTTTCTTAAGTGAATTCCATCTCAGAGGAGCAGCTAGCAGGTAGCAACGTGGAGGGACACCCTAGTCCACATGACCCAAGGCTTCTCAACCTCTGCACTAGTGACATTTTGGACTGGATTGTTCCTTGCTGTAGGGGACAGCCCTGTGCATTATAGTGTATTTAGCAACATGCCTATAACATCCTGCCATGAAGTATGACAACTCAGATTGCCTCCAGATGTTGCCATATGTCCCCTGGGGACAAAATCACCCCCAGTTGAGAACTACCTTTATCCAGATAAAGAAGCACAGAATGCCATCTATGGGGCTCATTGGTCTCAGGCACATTTTTGCATGTCAATCCGTCTTGGACAGTTGATAATTCCTCTTTCTAATGTGCTCTTATTTTTATCCTCAGTTGAGATGACACTTTCTCTCATAGGTTGTCTGTCACTGAGGTCACTAGGTCCTAGGTGTGCCCTCAGTTCCAGGTTGAAACTTCTCTCCTCACATCTACCTGTACCCTGTCCCAGGTTCCCTGGCTTCTACCCACAGCATTGCCTGGAATAAACGGGTAGGCTGCTTTTAAGTTGTTTTGCTTCAGAAACTACTACTACTATTTTCCCTCTTTCTTTCTTTTTTACATTTTGTTTTGTTTTCAACCACAGTTGCTCCAAGTGTCTCAATGGCTTCACTCTTACAATTCTGTGCCCTCTCTCCTCATTGTGATTAACTTACATGGGTGAACCAGCGCTCATATCACCCACACGAGATCTCATTTTCTCAGATTGAACCATTAGCACAAATCCCAGCAACCTAATAATCTGTCACATTTTGGTTCCTTCAACTCCAAGCAAAATTCCTTTCCATTCATGTATGATTTTGTGTCCTGACGGACACAGGTGTCTGAAGGTTGCCTTGCAACTCATGGCTTTCAAAACCATCCTTTCCTCCATTCTGTAACCTGGGATTCTAACCCCCAAGTAAACTGTTTCTTTTTTTGTTTCCATTTTATAGCCATGGGTGGATACAGGATAGGGGCGGGTGGAGAAGTGGGGTGTTGGGTTTGTCTCTTCTCCTTGCTGTCGTATTACTTTTGTCTCTGTAATCAAATGTTATTAAATGGCTGGGTAATACTGAAAGCTGAGTGATCAGAAGTCACTGACAGTAGTACATGACCATAACTTATTTATGAGAAGAGTAATTGCTGAATCACTGGCTGAGTGTGCTTTCTCTTTGATTAGCCAAGATATAGTAAAGAGGAATTACTTTAGAAATGTTATGGGTTTATTTCTTCTGTCTGAGGCAGATTTGGTTAGGAGTGATGAAAGCAAATTATACATCCAGGGAAACCAGAAGCAAAGGCAACTAGATAGTTGAAGATAGTAAAGAGATTCATAAATGTAATATAGAAACATCTGCCAATTTCCTTGTCAATCAAGATGGACTTAAAAGCTGTTTTGAAGGAAAATACTTCAAAAAGTTCTTGGAAAATGGAATTAAAAGGTAAGTTTATTTTGGTGCAAAAATTTTTTGAAACCCTTGTGTAATTTTTTTATACCATGAATTTTCTGTTAAATTTTGAAGACCCTTTATATGCATGAATTTCAAAAATTTTGTGACAAGATAAGCTTATGTTTTAGTTTCATTTTCCACAAACTTTTTGATACCTCTTCATAATATGACAATAGATCAGAAAAAGCCTGAATGTCACTGATTACAAGTATTAAAAGGAAACTTCCAACACACACATACCCCAATATTTCACATTAAGGTACACCCAGAATGGAAAAGCAACTTATACATGTAACAAACAAACAAAAAAAAAATCAAAATGAGAGGCCAGTATTTTCAATATATTGTAAAACTGATTACTAGAGTTTCTAAAATCCTAGTCCATCTAGTGAAAAGTTGTTGCTGGATTTTAATGTGCTTAATTTTTTTCTTTAGCTTGAAGAAGAATTCCAAAGAAAGGCCTACATATCCAGAGCTTATGGTGAGTATTGTTAGTAATGTAAACAAGTTTTCACTACTACCTAGTAAAGGTGAAGGAAGTAACTCTAAATTATAATCAAGTAATCAAATTGGGAGACTTGACTCATTGAGACATTGGTAATGGAAACTGAACTCAAGAAAAGAGAGTTGAGTCCTTCATTCATAGTATATCATAGTATATCATTATTTAATATAAGCTAGAACATATCACTATTCCTAGCAGTTGTTTTCAGTTTGACAATCCTGTCATAATATATAAAATGTATATTTTAAATGTAAAAGATTTTAGGAATAAAAAATTACCAATATAAATTAAAGGAAGCATGATTTAAGAGATTTCAGCCAAGAGAAAAGCATAAATGATAAATGACCAATCAATTTCTGATAAAATATAGGATTTAGCATTTTTTGGTAGGTGGATAAGGAAGGGAAACATAACTTTTCCCCCACTTCTTGTAAGATAAAGCACTATTAATTTGAATTATACTACTTCTGTGTTTGCAGTTTATCATTCTTTTCTATCTACAGAAACAGTGAAAATAAGACCTCAGTGTCATTGCTTTAAAATAGATTTTAAATTGTGGTAATTCCAATTCTAAGCTAATTCCAGATGATTCGATGGGGCCTTAACTTGGTGATGCTTTGTTCAACATTTGAGTAAATGTTGAATGTGGGAAAAATACATTTTGGGGGCAAAGATTATAAAATTCAGACTTTTTGCTTTGCTGTGTTAATCCCTCCCTAGATTTGTTTCAATTATCAACATTTAATTAGAGCAGGAGAAGAATTAGGTTCATGCACAGTTCTGAAAGAGACAGAAACCAATATTGGAAGAGAATTATTCCTGTGGCATTAAATACTTATTCCTGTCCTTTCTGACCCACAAGCAGTGTTTTTCTCAAGCCTTACTTGGGGCATATATTAGAAGTATCCTGCTGTGGATGAGACCTGGGGAAAGAGCATCTTGGAGAGATCAAGTCAGGGACAGTTCTAGAAAGCTGTCACTCATAGCCAGTTGTGTGGGTTTTCAGTTCTGGTGGTTAAGCTTTGATTTAAGTGTGGTCCATTCTCCAGTTGGATAATTTGGAGCCAAGGCCATCTCCTTGGGCTTCACTTGTCCCCTTAAAAAGGCAGTCACTGGTGTTCAGCTCTCAACAACTTCAAGCAAATAAGATCCACAGTTATAGAAGAAAAAAAGACAAGTAACACTTATGAAAAATCTCAACATCCTACATTTTGGGTTGAGTATTTCTTCTGTGATTGTTTTTTTAATAGCCTTGTCATTCCTGGCTAACCTTTTTGGTATGCGTATGCAACCCCTAGGCCATTTTAAAATTAATTTTACGTAAAATTCAGTAGACTAAAAATGATCTCTATAGATATTATAATCTATAATCCTATTTAAAGTTTATTTATTTTTATTTATTTGAAAGACAGACTCACAGGTATACACACACACGCACAGAGTGAGAGAGAGAGAGAGCGAAAGCGAGAGAGAGTGTGCTTCTATCCACTGATTCACTATCCAAATGCCCCAACAGCTGGGGCCAGGCCAGGCTAAAGCTGCCTGGAACTCAATCTGGTGCTCATGTGGATGGTACGGACTCAATCATTGAAATTACCAACTGCTGCCTCTGAGGCGCATGATTAGGAAGCTGGGTTGGGAGCTGAGTAGCCAGGAGTTCAATCACGCATTCTGAAATGAGATGTGGGTGTCTCGAGAAGCTGCTTAACCCATGGCGCCACAACATCTGTCCCTTCTATGATCCTATTTTAAAGTCGCCTTGGTGCTTTTGAAAACTAATTTCACATAAAAGAAGAACATTTTTTGTATACAAGAACTCATCACAAAGTTCACAGAAAATATATAGTATGAAAAACCATACAAAGGTTTTTTTTTTTTTTAAGTATCAAACATAAACCTATCTTTCAATTCCATTTTTCCATGAACTTTTTGGAGTTCCCTTATATTTTTGGCTTTTTAAATAAAGAATTTTTTCTTCCAAATGACCTTTTATTCATAAATTTCATTGTAACACACTGGAGGGAAAAAATGCTTTCTATATATTTACCCATGATGGATTCTACATTCTTGATAGCTTTCAGCACTGTGACATTTTATAGCTTACATATTAATGTTGTAAAATCCTGTGGACTCCTCCCCTGCTTCTTTCTACGGCATTAGTCTTTGTGGTACTGGAAATGGACTTGCCTTTTAAGAACCATAACTATTCCTTGTTTTTCTGTGGAATTGAGGTTTTTCAATGGAAAAATCTGAGTCCAAACTCCCTGATTTTAGCATTGGGAAAACACACGCAGAGAAACTATTGTTTAGATTTTAAGAGTTGGTGAAGAAATAGGGAGGAAAAAGTATCCTTTCCCTAGGTGAGGGATGATATCATTAAAGCCTCAACCCATATGTGCACCTCCCAGGAATCAACGTGTTTCTCTCTGTACTACAGATTGTGGGGTGTATCCCTAGTAACGTGCCTCATTTGCTTGTTCTTCCAAATGTCTCTCAAGACTCCCTAGAGTTGTTCTTTGACAGGAAGTTTTAGCTAACGTTTTCTGTGAAGGTCCGCATAGTAGGTATTGTAGACTTTGTGGGCTATGAGTTATGCCTCAAATTTGCAGGTGTAGCATGAAAACAACTGTATTCAATTTGTAAAGAGAAAAGTGGCTGTGACCATGTTCCACTACAACTTTAAGAAACAGGCACTGGGCTGGATTTGGCCCAGGGACCACAGTTTGGTAACCCCTATCTTAGATAATAACATAGGAAATGATAAGTCACTCAAGTCATTGCCCATATAGACATGATTATGTTCTCCAAATACACTGGGAAGTCTCAGATTGAATTGCAGTGTGAGACAAGGATGCCTGAACACGTAGACAGCTAGTTCTGGGGGATGAAAAGTTGTGCATGGGTTATGGGGACCCGTTTTCTCTTTATTCCTGGCAGGATGCTCCTGGGTCTCCCTGTTTTTTCTAGGCACAACAGTGAACATGAATGGTGCAGAATCCTCCATTCATGTACCTGAATCTTCTTTTGGGAAACAGCCTGGGACTATGGTCTGGGGATTGTTCATGGTACCTTTTGCTCATCTCCTTGTTTCTGTCCTTGCTATTCTTGATCCCTTACACATCTAAGGAACTAGGTTCCCTCCCAACCCTTTTTCAGCCTCAAAACCCACACTAGAAGACCAGTCACACTTTCCATTTTGACATGCCTGCCAGCTGTCCCCTGCCCCTGCCCTCCTGGCTCTCGCAGCATTTTCCCAGCCTGGGAATAAACTGAAAGCTACGGGTTTTTTTAAATTAAAGACTTCAGGTCAGGTTATTTAATTGATTCACAGACTCAGGCTACATCTGCTGAGCTAATATCAACAGAGCGAGAGGCAAGGTGGGGCTGGCAGGCATTGGAAGCCATCAGCCAGATAATCTGAGGTTTGACGTGTCCTGTTTTGATAGTAAAAAGCTTTTAAATACATTAAAGGATCTCCAAATGTCAAGAGGATGTGGGAAAGCTAATAAGCATGATGGTAAAGCACTTGGTAAGTGTGCTGTGTAAGTGGTTGGGAATTGAAAGTGGTGCTGCTATTTAGTTGTCAAGGAGCTCCAGAGGAAAGGCCCGGCGTCTAGGTCTAGTGGATCTTGTGGCTGTAAGGCTCTGAGCCAGGCCCAACCTGTGCCCTCAGGTGGGCAAAGGCAGAAAACCTCTTCCATTTTCTGAGTCACAATACTTAACAATGACCACCTACCTTTTTGTGTGTGGGGGGGTTATTTCTTTGTCCCTCTCCCATTGACATTGTTTCCTAAAACTTCCATGGGTGGGCATTTGGTTCCCCACAGGGCTGACTCACTCAGCCCTCTGCTGTCAAGTTTAAGACAAATATAATTAGACAACCTACATATAGGCAATATGAAGGTTGTAAACCCAAATCCCTAAAGTCAGGGGAAACAGAGTGAGTCATCTACATGTCTGCATGCAAAAAGCTCGTATTTAGCTGCTCGACTGATCATTGAAAATAGTGCCTACCACCAGACAGTTGGGAACATGGGTGTGGCAGGTAGGGGGTGGCTCTGGGCACAGGGTCCCCATGTTGCTTTAGAGTTGTTTGGTTGATTCTATTACTGCTGTCAGAACTGTGGGTCATGGCCTGCTGTATCCCTTTTTGATCAGAGGTGAAAGGTCCCGTTGTAATAGCCAGGCACTTACTGTAAAACAAAATTGAGCAACTGGAGGGTGATTGTTCTGGTACAGAGAAAATGGCTATCCCTCAGAACTGTTTTGAAATGTGTGGCCTCTTCCATTGTACTGTGCCTGTTCTCCAAGCAAAGTTTAAGACCCAAGAATTTTTTTTTTTTTTTGGACAGGCAGAGTGGACAGTGAGAGAGAGAGACAGAGAGAAAGGTCATCCTTTGCCGTTGGTTCACCCTCCAATGGCCGCCACGGCCGGCGCACTGCGGCAGGCGCACCACGCTGATCCAAAGGCAGGAGCCAGGTGCTTCTCCTGGCCTCCCATGGGGTGCAGGGCCCAAGCACTTGGGCCATCCTCCACTGCCTTCCCAGGCCACAGCAGAGAGCTGGCCTGGAAGAGGGGCAACCGGGACAGAATCCGGCGCCCCGACCAGGACTAGAACCCGGTGTGCCGGCGCCGGTAGGTGGAGGATTAGCCTATTGAGCCGCGGCGCTGGCCATACCCAAGAATTTTTTAAAGTTTATTTAATCTCAGCTGCATAAATAGAGACCATGCTTTTCCTTTTTAATCTTTAATCTCAAGGTTGAATTTTCTTTGCACATGGCCAGACTTTGGCAGTCCAGCACACCCTCCTCCAGCTGGATCAAGTCTTCGTCAAGAGAGAAATAAGTGTAACCCATGGCTGTAAATTTGGCTTTGAAAATGGCTTTTATTGTTTCTGTCCAAACCAGCTCCCCTGTGTCAAGAGCAGAAACTCGCTTCTTCACGCATTTACTATTCAACAAAATTGGTTTCTCATTCTGTTGTCAATTTCATGGGAAATGAAGCTCCCTAAATCTATGAAATTTCTATCTTACTTTGTAGGGGACAGGGTTATTTTTAAGTCAGAATTTTGGGTGGTCTTTGCCAATCTTTGTGTTTTATTGTAGTTGGACTTTATGTAGTATAATTACATCTATATTTTTAAAAGCAATAGATTTATAGTCATCAAGATGGAAAGAATGGTAACTAAGAAATGTTTTTTTAAAAAATATTCATTTTATTTATTTGGAAGGCAGAATTACAGAGAGAGAGAGACAAAGAGAGAGAAAAAGATGTTCCATCCACTGGTTTACTCCCCAAATGACGGCAATGGCCGGGACTGAGCCACGCTGAATCCAGGAGCCAGGAGCTTTTTCTGGGTCTCCCACATGGGTGCAGGGCCCATCCTCTGCTTGATTTCTCAGGGAGCTAGATCAGAAGTGGAGCAGCCAGGACTCCAGCCAGTGCCAATATGGAATGCTGGTGCTACAAACTGCAGCTTAATCTGCCACTCCACAACACCAGTCCCCTAAAAGATACTTTTAAAATGTTGGCATTATTAGATGTGTGCATGATTTTAAGAGGAGGAGTAGTCCAAATTTGCCCTGGTAGGCATATTTAATGTTTATCAAACAAATCTGTTAATTTCCTAGTCTTATATATAGTCAATGATAAATGTTAATACTCTGTTTTTCTTTTTTTCTCCCAGCAACATCCATTCTTCACTGTACATGAATCCAAAGCAACAGATGTGGCATCTTTTGTAAAATTGATTCTTGGAGACTAAAAAGCAATGGACTTAATCAGTTGACCCTACTGTGGATTGGTGGGTTTACAGGGTGAAGCAAGTTCACTACAGCGCCGATAGGAAGTCATCTTTGAGATAATTTAACCCTGTCTCTCAGAGGGTGTTTGCTCCCTGTTTTCTTTTCTTTTTCCCCTCCTTAGGGGGCCTTGGAATCTATAGTATAGAATGAACTGTCTAGCTGGATGAAATATGATAAAGGCTTAGGACTTGAAAAGATGATTAAATATTTAATGATGTGTCATATGAGTCCTTAAGCTTCTCAGACTTCTCTTGTTTTTTACAAAATGAATGCATTGGCCCTGGCATAAAGGTGCTACCGTAGTGATGAAATTGTAAGTAGATTTGTTGTGTGTACCACTTATTATTTTAATATTTATGTGTAAGCGCTTGGTTGCAAAGATTCCATTTTATGCAAGAAGGGAAATACAAAAGACAGAGTTGGGTTAGCAATATTTATAGGGCTTTTATTTTTTAAGTTCAATCGTGTCTGTGGTCCAGAAGGAATTATTTAATATGCATCTTTAAGAATATTATAAAGATATCAAAAAGGACCTCTTCTTGTGAAGTCTCTGTGCCAGCTGTCATGGTTGCTGCCACATTCTAAACTGCTGCTCAATCCTGGGTAATCACCACATATTTTAGGTGAGGGGGCAAGACATCCCAGTGAATCCTACTCTTTCCTCAACTGTGGAAAACATAAAAGTCACTTTTATCACAGCACCAACAGTAGAAAAAAAAAAGGTGGACATTTGTGGTATAGTATTAGTGGAAAGTGATTTGTGATGTGATTTAATATCTGCCTTTATATTCACATACCTGTATGTGTGTATGTACTAAGTCCTGCCAAGTGGTTTCCAATGAACATCTGTGTTTAGTTAGGAGGACATTTGCCTGTCTTGAGGGGGGTAGGTCAAGCCACAGAGAACTTGTGCCTTCTTCATTTATCCCTCCTCCAATGTATATGCCCCAAGGATTGCCTTTTAGTTAATGTGTTCTTTTGCTTTATTTGTTGTTTTCTTGTTCAATGAAGAAGCCTTACTATTAACAGAAGGGCTGCAATAGAAGAAAATGAAAGGCAGTTAGTGGTTCTCTGATAAGATAGCAAGATAACAGGGAGGGTTGAATGAACTCCTAGGACTAGATGACAGCAGTGTGATGGGTAGAATTGAGCCCACCTTTAGCAGTGTGTGTTAGCTCACTTCACTGTAGGAGGCTTTCACTATGTGAGCTCCTAAGAGGTCAACTAAGCAACAAAAGTTCTTTGTCCTTGCCACAGGTTCTCCGTTAGGGGTTCTAGGTTCCTCTAGGATCAAGAAGTAAAGTGATTGACAGGGAAAATACAGATTATAATAAATAGCCACGAAGCACTGCTTTTGGATGTTTTGTTTATACAATGATACTCTTGGAATATAAAGTCAGAGGGGTTTTATTTTTAAAAAAAGAAAAGAAGAAAAAACACACACACACCTTGTTTCTTTTCTTGTCTCAATGCCTCAATGTTCGTCAATGGGGAGAGAAGTGCTCTCCCAAATTTTCTCTTCCTTTCCCTTACAGATTTTGAAGTGCTGTCATACAATTTTTGTTGTTTGTATTTTTTCATCCTACTTTGGATCTCTTGCTCATGGCAATTACCCAGAGAGAGCATGGTACTGCATACAGTTCTTTGTATGCAGTTCCAAGGGATATGAGTTGTCTGCTTGATTAAACATCAGTTTCATCTTAGAAGCTACCTCTGTCTTCTCTTGTTTTCTACTGGGAAAGGAGTGTTATCCTAGTGTTCGTGGCCATGCACTTGCTCACTTAGCTTCCTAAGTGAGAGAGCAATCACAACTATATTCTTCACTCTGATCACCCATCTTAGAAATAATAGGGGGAAATGGGGGATCACTCCATTATGGTTTTTGGTGAAATGTATAAAGCAAATCATGTTTCTGGCCTGGTTCGCCTGTTTTTTGACTTTGAAACACTTTTAACAAAGTGTGTGTTTCTCATATGTACGCCTCTCTGTATGCCCTGGGCGGGGACTTAGAACACAATTATAGCAGGTCACTAAGGACGTGGACTAGGATTCTCGTCCCTGTTACACATTGGGATCATCTGGGAGCTTGTGAACACTGTCAATTTCAATGTCTCTGGAGTGCAGACTGGGAGTCTGTTTTTCCTTTGCATGTCCTCATGTGATTGTTATGCGCAGGAGGGTTAAAGACACTGGACTAGCACCTTCCAAAGAGAAAGGATTTCCTAAGAATTTCTTTCTCTTGAAGTAACCAATGACTCTGTATGAGAGTACCAGGAAGCCCCATTTCTTTCCCTATCCTCGTCAGTATGGGTATTTTCATCTTCATCAGGGAAGGCATATCCCTGGGATACTGATTTGAAAGTTGGAATACCTTTTCCCCAGAGAAGCAATTTCTCTATGATGATTAAGTTTCCTGTGTACTGAAGTATAATGGGTTGATAGCCTTAGGATTCCAAATTTTAGAACACAATTTTATGTTTGGAGACCTACATTAGAAGTTCTAAACAACCAACTTTTAAAGTAAATTTTAGATACACAAAATGCATATAAATTGGGTGTCTCCTGTATATACAGATAGATATGTATGTGTAGAGAAAAGGATAACTGTATTCAGGGGTGATCCTCTGAATACATAGTTAATGCTCAGCCATCATGGACCATCTGATTATCAGCCCTGTCTATATCTATCAGTATATTACAGAATCAGTGTAACTCTACAAAAGAGAGCATGATTATTTTTCCAATTGTATTTTATTTGGCATCAGACACTTGTCCACATTATACTTTTTATGTTTAGAAATATTCATCTCTCTCTATATGTTGTTGATTTAAGATGTGTGCCAAAAAAGTAATGTGAATGATTTCACAAAAGCTAGCAATATGTGTGTCTCTGTCAATGACTATTACCCTTAATAGTAACCTCCTTGAGGGACTCTTTATATAAATAATGCTATGAAAATGTTTATTGTGTCCCTTTCAGCAAAGGCTTCAGAATTCATTCCCTTCCATGTAGATGTAATCATTTTAGAGTTCCTCTTTCACGTTCTGTTGTCATGTGTTTTGTTTACAAAAAGCGTTACCAGGCTATTTTCCTCTTTGATTTACCTGTTTTATCAGATGTAGTACCAAGCTTTGTTTGGCAATTACTAAAAGCTAAATCTGTCCTCAAGGAAGGAGTTTAACCATCGCCAAATTTTTGTAAAACGCTGTTTTATAGGGCTCTGAAGATAATTTCAAATGACGTTTCCCAAAAAAGGGTGCATTATTTTTAAGCCAAATCAACTTCCTCTAATAAATGTCGTCTTACAAGATGACACTCAGAAGGAGAAATAACTTCCATAGATGTGTATATATTTGTTGATAAACTATCTGAGTCACCAATTTCACACGTGGCATCATCTATTAGCTGTGACTTATGACTTTGATGTGGAGGAATAATCCATTATTCAAAAGACTGTGTTTGGCCACACTGATATTCATCAGAAAAAATTGGTTAAATAAGCAACTTCTGTCTTGGTTAAACCATCTGAAATAGAAATAAGTATGTGTGGGTATAGCTCAAGATTGTGTGGTAAGTTCTTGTATATCCTTCAAGCTTAAAAGAATTGTATATGCCAGATTCCTAAACACTTGCTGTTCATGGTGCCATCAGTTGTCTTAGAAATTTTTTATGGTACCCAAATCCAAATAGCCTAACAGTTCAATGTATTAAGTAATTAGGGTCAACCAGCTTAACAGTAATAGTTTTCACTATGCCCTATATATAGATGACTCCATGTTTCTCTTAAAAATACATAAGACCCTGCCATGCCTGTGAGTTTGCAGTAGTCTTAGGATACTTCACGCCCAGTTTGGGCACCATAGATATTTATTATGGTGATACCTGCAACTGTCTACAACAGGTGACCCTCAAATTGGAATTCTTGGTCACTCTTCCATTTGTATTATTCCATTTTTGCTAAGTTATTGTTTGTGCTTGCTTCTGGCTGATTCAATTTTTAATTACTATCCTGCCCTTTGCTGTTGACCAGTCCTGTAAGACCACATAGTCTAGGAAATAAAGTACTCGTCAGCCATTGTGTCAGAGGATGCTGGCACCAGGACTAACAAGGTCCCTGACTTCTCCAAATGAAGTAGATTTCATGTCTTTGGAATACCCATACCCAAAGAAGGCAGAGAGGGACTAATATTTCACACTTTAACACAAAAAAATGTCCTTGTTGGCCAGGGGCTTTAGTTCTCTGCTCAGAGAAGCTGCTCTGTTGCTCCCTGAAGTATCCAACAAAACACTGAAAGTACAAGAAACAGATACCTAATTCCTAATTTCCCACCTAAATTCTTTTTGGGGCTGTGTAGCTCCTTCTGACCTTGAAGGTACAAGTCATGTATTCATAAAATTCATTGGAGCTTGTGGTCAGATCTGGTAAAATGAATTAAATTTCTTTTGTGCTGGAATTTTGCCTTGTTAACATCTATCTGTAACTTTAAGGGAGGGATGTATTGGCTCAAAAGACTCTTCCACTTTTATTGAATTAGCAAGTGAAAAGGTATTTGAGTAACTGTCACCTTCTTAAGAATTTTTTTTAACTTTTATTTAGTAGATATAAATTTCCAAAGTACAGTTTGTGGATTACAATGGCTTTTCCCCCCCATAACTTCCCACCCACCCACAACCCTCCAATTGTTTTAATTGTTGTTGTCACTTTTCAAATGCAGGATGCAGTTTTCATTTAGGTCTCTGATAATTTGCATAATTCACATGGAAGAATGCTAGAATAATATCTAGAAAGAGGAAACTACCTAATGTGGTAGAAGTAGAAAAAAGATATTTTATTCTAGAAGTTTCATATACCTCTTTGCTGGGGGTAGGGAGCTTGTTTTAGCTCTGCTCAAAATGCTGATAGTTAAGATACTCTTTGGTTTTCTTGGCTTTGATTGGGTTACTCTGGATTGCTCTGAGCATCTGTTGAAAGCTAGGACCTTTTCCCTAGGAAGACGCACATCGTATGAAACACACCACTTTGGAAACATTTTTTGCTAGGCGGGATTTCAGTTTCTAGACCCCCATAGTATCAATCACATTGCTCTCTAGAATGGGTACTGTGAATCCTAGACCAAGGCTGGAAAACTTCCTCTGTCAAAGGCTGGATAGTAAATATTGATTTTTGGCTTTGTGTTCCATACAGTCTTATTTGCCACTATTCAACTCTGATGTTGTAGTATTAAAGCAGGCATCAACAACATGTAAGTAAATGAGCATGGCAGCTGTGTTCCAATAAAGCTTTACTTACAAAACCAAGCAATAGCCCAGATTTGGTTCATAGGCCATGGTGAGACCATAAAATACAGACTGGCTATCTATAAAGAGTTCTTCCACTTAGTGGATATTTAGTTCAGCTGCTATTGAGACAGTTTAGGAAGCTGGACATAGGAAAATGAATTCAGAAAGGATGGGGGCTGTTTAATTGCGTGGAATTTGCTTGTTAGTTTCCTCAGGTTAAGTGTTAATCGTTCTGGAAGTTAATGGACAATTTTCTTCAGAATAAACTGAGTTTTTGCTTTCTCTTCTACGTATTCAGCAACATAACTTCAGTTGGGAAACTAAAGGCACATTTCTCTTCCATGTTAGCTGTCTCCTTGGTTCTTAGTTTCTTTGCATTTTTTTTTTCTGTAGTATGATTCCCATGCAGGGGAATCATGAACCTGGACACAAATCATTGTGTTTCCCTATCCCCTGAACTGTCCTAGGGTTTAGGGATTTGGAAGGCCGAACTTACCTCAGTTAGATAGAATTCTTAACATCTTCCAATTCATCCACCTTGTCTACTTGTCCATCTTTTGAGAAAGCAAGAAGGAGTAGTTTTGGGCAAAATACTTGTTCTCAGGTAGCTTTGGAGCTCCATGTTCTCCCTGGAACAGAAGCCTCAGGCCTGCCCCCTTGTGTTCTGTGCCTGGATTGCAGGGGAGTATGCTTCTTGTTTAATTATAAGTAATTTCAGTTTTGAAGGGCCTGTTCAAAATGCCTCCTTTCTGATGTGATTTTCTTGGCTTTTTAGCCTGCGTTGAGTTTCTGGACCCCAGAAACTTCTAGCAGAAGCTGTGCCTTCCCTCTGGAGCAGAACAGCTCTGTGACTGAGTTCTGCTTCATCTGTGCTTGCACCCTCTTTGCTGCCCAGAACACTATACAAAGAGCTATCAGCTTCCTCCTTTTTCTTCATGCAGAGGGGGAGAGCACATCTGAGTGAAAGCTGTAGGCTCCTTCTTACTCAGAAACGCTTGTCTTCCCCTGCTGTCTTGTCAGGAAAACACAATTAGACTTAGAATGATGCCGAGAAACGCCTTAAGAGGGCATATTTCAATATTTGATCTGGCAATTTACCTAAAAGAATGTTTTCTCTTCACCCAGGGGAAAAAAATCTGGCTTCCAAAGCCTGCAAAGTGAAATTATCCGTCCAGGCCATCACCACCAAACCCGTTCACTCACCACGTGTTCCTGGTGACTGCAAGGAAGAAGTATTGGTTTTCTGAGTTGAGAAAGTTGCAGTTGACATCTAAGGAAATATTGTTGTACAATTCCAAGTTATCTAAGGGACTAGTTTGGAATTAAGACTTTAGTTGGGGTTAATCTTTTCAGTTCCTGCCCCAAACTCCTTTTTAAAGTAAAAATGTTCTACAAGTCCCTTTCCTATCAGAGGTGAAGAAGCTTTGAGCCTAAGCAGAAACACAAGGCAAAGTCAAGGACTTTGTACTACAGGCTTTTGTTTTTAAGAAACCAATGTCTCTTTGTCACATAAACACCTATTAATAGAATTTAAAATTACTCAGCCTAATTCCTTAGGACTCAATATCTTGATATCACTCATTTTGTCATTTTTGAATTAGGACATTGAGCTTTTTGTTCTTGGGAGTTCACAGATTTGGGGATATTTGCATGGTATTTCCTTTTTAAAGTTGTCATCCTGACAACTTTAAATGTGTGAAGTGCAGTTACTCTTGACTGTGCACGATTTTCCCCAGTTTATATATTTGCATTTCTGAGATTTTGGGTCTAAGGAATGGGGCTAATGGTTTCATGACCTGGAGATTGAGATCAGGGAATGTATGGGCAAGTACAGTCATTTACTTGAGTTCTCATGTGGAAAGCAGAATTTCCCAAGGAATCCCTAGGGTCTGAGGCTTAGACTCGGCCATCAGTAGTGTTCTCTGGTTTCTCTTCTTGCATTTGCTTGTTATTATTCCTCAGTCAGTCACACATAACATGGGCTGACTTAATACTTTTGTGGAAAGGAACTGATCCAGCCATTTTCATGTATCAATAATCAAAACCAACAGTTTTGCATCAGTCTGCTGAGCTGAACTCTGTTGTTCTCAGTTCTTGAAAATGTAAGGGAAAGCTAAGAGGTCTTTTCACAAACTCTCATTCAAAATATGAGACCTTGTAAAAGGAACTTCCATGTGACCTTTAAAGAAGAGCTGAGTTGGGCGCCTGAGTCCCTGAAGTATTGTGGTCAGAAATGAGTAATTAGCATCGTTTGGTCACTACCAACATTTCTGCTGGAGTCTGCAAGATATTTCAAGAAAGCAAGTCAGACCATTCTCTTGTCACTAGACTTAGGAATTTAAGAGTGAAGAGTAATGAGAAACTGATACTTGATGAATGAGAGGCAAAAAAAAAAAAAATGCATGGAGTGGTACTAAATTAGAAACCTTTTGGAGGAAGAACAATAATAAAAGATTCTGGTAAGCAGACATATCCTTTAACTTATTTACAGTATTACTATATTATGAAGGTGATCTTCTATGAGAAAAGCCATCAAGAAGTCAAATCTTTATTTTTTTCCCCTTCAATGTCCTGAGCTATGAGAAAATTTAAAGAATGGCATTCAGAAAATTGTCTTTGGCTTTTCTAGTGTTGTTGATCCTAAAACGTCACCCTTTGAAACTGATGGCACCCACAATAAGAGTAAATGATTAGAGGAGGTGATACATGAGTTGACTAAAAGGAGTCAAGTGTGTAAAGCATTTTAAGTGTACATAGCTCATCCCTCAGCTGCCTTCTGGGTAAAGAAATATGGAGGAGAAACCTGAGCCCTTGACCTTCACTTCTCATGACAGTTGTATTTAAGTAAGGTGGGCACCAAAGAAGTGTATGTGATGAGCATTCTTTTTGTTCATAATGTAGAAAGCTGTGAGTGTTCCTAGAAATGGACTACAGGTTTCATCAGAAGAGCTAGAATTTATAATTTTAAAATATAACACTCAAAACTCTTGATTAGTCAGAAGTGATGAATTGTGGAGAAGTAGCTCTGTCTTTTTCTGATCCCAAGTCATCTGTCTTGAATGTTCAGTATCTCGAGAGGTAAGAAGGAAGGATGGCAGTGGCTTCCAGATCATGTTCAGTGGCACCTGAGGTCTCCTGTCAGGAGCGGAGGGGGAAGAAGTGTGATAAAGGTTGCTGTTGCCTACTGAAGCCCCATTAACTTTCAACTGAAGCATTAGGTCATCATTATTATTCCTTTTAACTGCACGTCCCAGTGTCTACTAAAGGCATGGGAATTTTAAGTTAAATGACCTTTTGAGGACCCAAAACAATTCCCGAATCTGGGAAAGTTTTAGCCACCCATATCTGTGAATCTTGGGCTTTTGCCATACTGAGTTCTAACACAGTTAGGGATGTGGGCTACAAGAAGGGAGGGCCATTTATTTTAATTTTAAAGCACCATGCATTTGACAGAAAACACACAGAATCAATAAGTGATGGCCATGAAATATAGACCCTTAAATGGATTATTTTTCTAAATCATTTGGGAATGGTCTGATTTCCATTCATTCTCCCAGTGATGAGGAGTGGTATGACTGAGGTCTTGATACATAGTGGGATTTTTTTTTAATTTCTAGATATATAAGTGGAGAAGTTCTAATTTGTGTCCATTGAACTGCAGTAATAAAAGTGAAACTCTTCAGATGATTTTGACACAGACAAGGATACTATCTGGAATTCAAGCTAACAGAGCTTCCCCTTGCTGGGTTTTGACAAGGTGTGGTTGATGTACAAGGGTAATGGAAACCTGTAACAGTCATTAGACACTGAAAAGTACACAGCTGTGTTGGTCATGAACGAAACACAAGGGGAATGCGTGGATACTTTCTGCATCATCTCAGGTCCCTTCTATACGTGGAGAAAGAGTTGGTGGTGAATTTTGACAATAGATGTTTGCCACTGAAGGAAACTTAGCAACTTGGGTTTCACAGCAACCAGTTTAGAACCTTGTACTCATTTTTGCCAAAAAATTACAGTGGGCAACCCTTCATCATATTTTCAGCCAATATGTCTATAAAGTCATAGGAACTTTGATTAAAAGCATTTGGATAATTTATCTCTTTTATTACCTTTGTGTTTGATTTATTGTTTAGTCTCAAATTTATTTTCTGAGTGGAGTGATTTTCTGTATGAGCTGAAATGTTTTAATACAATAGTAGGTATTTTTAGAGGAAAAATGTTTTCTTTGTGTAATTAACTTACACAAATAGAACATATTTTCTATTATACAAAATTATCATATGGGATAATTTGAAAGGGGCTTTAGGGGAGTAGTTGCAAATTATTTATGAATAGTTTTCTACATATTTTGTGGAAATCTCAATTAGACACTAGTTGGAACTTCCCTATGTAATTGAAATTTACAAAAAATTTTAATAGGATAGGTGGATTTCCCCAACTTCTTTTGTGCTTAGGTTTCAAAGCCAAAAATGCTGTTTCCATTTATGAATCTGATCATTAGAAAAAAAAGTTTTTTCTTACATTCTGTGAATTTTATGATAGACAACATTTTATTTGTATACATGACTGACTGTTTTCCTGTGTTGCACCCTGAATATATTTTCAAACCATGCTTATTTTAAGAGAGCTCCTGGGCAAGTGGAATACTAGAATGAAGTAATTCCATATGCTGGTTAGGGGCCTGCTACGTCTTCTTGACACCTAAAATATTCTGAAAGAGAATTGGAGAGATTTTGCACTCTTATACTTCAAAATCCATCTGCAACACTTAAAGTCAGTGTCTCTGCAGAGTTTGTAGTAGAGGAATTTATACTATTTTGTGGATTCTCCCATCCAGTCCTTAGTCCTTCCTGACCTGTGCAACTCACTGCTAGCCATCCCTAGTTGGAGTCCTTACTCCTTTGTGGATTGTGGTATCTCTGTTTTATGAATGAGACAAGCTGAACTGTGGAGTGTGGAATTCATTAGAAGTTTATAAAGTAAGGATTTTTGACGGATGTGGGTGGAATATTTCCATGCCTTTGAGGTGAGTGCTGAATTTTAAATTCTGGCTCTAGGAAATTTTTTTGCTTGTGAACTGCAGAAGTAGGAAGGAGTTGGGATCCACACTTAATTTTGTGGTTTTTTTTTTTTTTTTATATTGGAAATAATTGCGACACTTTCTGAAACTGAAAACATTCTCCATTATTGAATGGGGAAATTCGTGTGTGTCAAATGATAACTTCAGAAGTACCCAGGATTGTATTTTGAAATACCTGTTTTGGGGGGCAGTGTATATTTGTGTTCTTTGCCTGTTGACTTTTATAGCCTCATATGCTTTCATTGTAGCCTAGTTTTTCTATTACCACAGTTGAGTATATTTTTTTCTTCTGAACTATTGCTTATCATAAGTGCTATGTTATCTAGAATCCCAAAACCAAGAAGACAGCTAATGTGCAGGCTTGGGATAGATACAAGATTAGGTTTTAATAGAGTTCTCAGAAATATGCTGAATTGAAGGATAAAAGTCATGTTTGCTTTTAACGTTTGGAGAAGCCACCTGCCCCAGTTCTGTATCCTTGAGTGATTCTTCTTTTTGTGACAGTATTGTTGGTGAGATGTACTTGGTAGACTGGATGATTGGCTTCTACCTGTCCATAAACAAGGAATTATGATTGCCAAAGGTGGGGATAATTTTGCCTTATAAGCATATGGTTATTCTATAGTGAAATTCCCTGTCTCTGTATCCTTTAAAAAGCATGACCTTATCATTTCCCTCCTCCTTTCTGATCCAAGAGCCTATTAAAGGAAGAGTGTATTTCTGATGTGCTGTGACATATTTCTTTGAATCCATGGCTGAGATGTTAAACCAAGAGGTTGTTACATGGTTCATGTGGTTACCGTCCTGGCTCCTCTCTCACCACCTCAAAGGAACATGAAATTGGGAGATTAAGTCAAACTTGAACTCCTCTGTGATGAGGAGTGTTCACTTTGATTTCCTATCTCAGGATATTCTTTGGTTTCATACTGCTGCTGAGGAGAAAGGAACAAGCTTCTGACACTGTAACTGGTTTCCAGATGTTTGTGCGTGTGTATGTAAAACTTCACACTGTGTGTGTTGTGCTCAATGCTGTGTCAATCTCTGAACTGACTCAAACGGCAATTTACAGATAGAGAAGACAGCGATGATGGCAACAAATAAACTAACACCCAACCTCCTCTTTCTGTCAAAATGCTTGCTATGACTTCCATAGCTAGGGCAAGCAACATAAGTATTCAGGATAAACGTGCCCTTGAGAGAAATGGTGTGTTGATCTCATAAGCAAATGTACAACCAATAAAAGATATTTTAAAAAGTATAGTGAGTCTGTATATTAATTGAATTTTTCATGTGTTCCAGGAATTCTATTTTTATGCGTAAAAGGCCCTTCAGATAGAACTGTCTGGACTATTTATCCTCTTTTTTTCTCCTTTTTTCTTCTCCTGTCTCTACCACCTATTTCCAAAATAGAATAGAACAAAACATAACCACACAACAGGATTGCAGTCTTGAGGACTCATTAGAAAATCTTTTCATCCCTAGTACACTCCAGATCCAATACTCTCATAGGCAGCCTAGGTTCGACATGAAGGCCAGGATTTCATTATTGAAATCAGATGGCTGTGGTGAGGACGAGTCCAGATGGCTCAAATGAAAAGATTCAGACCAACTTTCTTTTGGCTTCCAGGTGTTCCTGATACTGAACTATGAGACCAACTAGTCATTCCTATGTCTACAGGTGTCATGTTAGGAAATTCGAGAAGTGCCATGATTCCGATGATCACAGGAAGAAAGAAAATGTTAACATTAAGTGTGGTTGAGTTTGCGAAGTTCTCTGATTTGTCCTATAAACCAAATGTCTAGATGTATTTGGTTTAGAGAAGAACTATTGGGCCTTCACACTAATAGTTTAAGTGGATCACCATTATTAAGGAGGCACACGTTCACTTCTGTCTTACTTCTTGCTAAACAAGTTGAAGCAGCTGAGTCAGGAGTTGAGTTCTTTAAAAGCACCCGATTTACATCATTTCAGGGATTAGGATCCCAAGTGAAGGATTCACCGTAGTTTTGCAGTGAAGACGTCTCTGCACTTTTGCAAACATCATCCAAATGATTTTCCAGTAACAGTGGGCTCCATGCTACCACCTTTGAAGTCCTCATCCCTCTGGACTGTGTTATGAAAGTTTTTAGCCTTCATCTTTCGTAAGTATAGGTCTCTCTTAACACTAGGAATTTTAAGTTTCTACAAATGGTGAAAGTATGTGGGGGAGGGAGGGCATAAACAAACATGATTAAGATGGTGAGTTATAGGTAAAGGTTCTTTTACCCATTTCTCTACAGCCATTCTTCGTCTTCATACTTTAAGATAACATCAAATCTTATGGTACATTTCATTTGATGAGTATAATGCTTTCTCTCTTTCCTCTTCTCTCCTAATACTGATACTAATATGCCTGATCAAAATGACTCCCTGCTTATGCAAGAGTTTGTAGGAAGCTGTTAATTAAGATAGAAAATAGAGAAAGGCAATGGGTTAATCAGAAAAGCATTTGGGCAGTGTGTCTTGGTGCTTTGGTTATTCACTGAATCATAGCAAACCCCAAAACTTAGTAACTTAGCACAACCATTTATTACTATTTCTGACAATCTGCAGGTTGACTGGGCTCAGCCCGTCAGTCTCAGCATTTCTCATGCAGTGGTGGGGGTGAGTCATGGGTGGCTTTTTTGTTCACATTTTGTGGCTGCACAGGGATGGCTGGTGTATGCCCAGGGCTTGGGGCCGAGGACAAGCAGATCCAGATTCCAGTAGGTCAGAGGACAACTCGGAGTCATTTGTGGGTTTATATATGATTTAGTCACAGTAACAGGAGGAAGTACATGAGGAATAGACACTTGCCCCTAACGACAGTGGGCTACAGGAGATGTCTGTCTTTATGTCCTTGGCAGTAGTGAGACACACACACAGAGCCACATATGGCCACACCTACCAATAGCCTCATACAGCCACAAATCCAGACATCCACACACTGCCATGCCCATGTCCACATCTATTCACAAGCAGCAGCACCTAGACATATCCCTGTTACTTATATGGGTTTACAGACAAAAGTGGACCAGAGCCAAACTTACATAAAACACTTGTGGGCAGCTAGCCATGCAGGTAGGCCTGTCAGTTACCATGACACTAGTTACCATAGAGAGACAGACATATGGGAGGACAGAGATAAGGGGGCATGGACAAAAGGTGTGGGAACTTGATAAACATCATCTTCCCAAATTCACCTCCTCAACAGTTGGGATATCATGGGGCCACTTGGGTATTCTCTTTCCATGTAGCCTCTGTGTGGTTATCTGGGACTAATCACTGGCTGGCTGTCTCAAAGTGTCAGATTTTTTTTCCATGGAAGTAGAATGTCTCCAGAATCAGCTGTGAATTAATCACACAGCCTAAGGTCCACTGTGGAAACTGACAAGGGTGCTTCATGGTGGGGACATCCTCGAAAATCAATTACCCTACTTTGTTAGCCCAATATTATTAGAATACACTAGCAAACATTGAAAATTGGTCTTATTCCCCCTTCCCTAAATTGGTAGTCAAGAGGCAGTTGAAATAATGAATTAAAATCAATGTTGAAATTAGTTAATATTTAATCATCACCCATAATTTCATGCAGGAAGGCACTTTGATAAAAATGTCGACATTTTCCTGTAGAAGGCAAGGGATCCTTTTCTGCCTGAAAACCTTAAGCCATAGTTGGAATTAAAATGACATAGGAGAAAATTAAATATTGATATGAATGACTCACAGAACCCCTGTCTGTTCTTCTCCACCAACCCAGATGGTCATGGCTCATAAATACTTGCTGAGTAGGTGTTTTCCCCTAAAATGGAAGTAGCTTTATTTTGTGTTTTAAAAACTAATAGATTCTGTGAAAACTTAGAGAATACATGCAAAAAAAAAAAGCATTAAAAACAATTCTGAGTTAATTGTTCATGCATTTAAAAATATCTTTTGGATGAGTGTTTGGCTTAGTGTTTAAGTTGCCAGTTAAAATGCCCACATCCCTCTTCAGAGTCCTGGGATCTGAGTGCTAGCTGTACTTCTGACACCAGCTTCCTGCTAATGTGCACCCTGGGAGGCGGGGTGATGGTTTAAATACTTGGGTTTCTATCACCCACCTTGGGGACCTGGATTGAGTTCTTGGCTCCTGGCTTTGGCCTGTGCCTGTCCTGGCTCTTTTGGGCATTAAAGGAATGAACCACAGATGTGAGTGCACACCTGCTTTCTCTCTCTGCCCTCCTGGTCTCTTTCTCTTTCTTTTTCTCTCTGTGTCTCACTGCCTTGCAAGTGGGGAAAAAAATCTGTTTCTTCATACCTTTTTTTTTTTTTTCCCATTAAAACACACACACACACACACACGCACGCATGCTTAAGGGATAACTTAATGGGATTATGCTATTTTTACCTGCCTTGCTTTCCAAGTTATATATATATGGGCACTTTATCAAGTCAATTAATACACATAGCATTAGCAGTTTATTGGCTACCTTATATTGTAATTTATGCTTAAATGTCTTAATTTTATATTTACCTGTCTCACTGTTGGTGGAAGTTTTGATTTTTTTTGGATTTTGATTAATATTCTTACGATTTTTGTATACTAGTCTATGTTGAAAAAGTATTAAATAGCTAGAAGATCTTAATCACTTTCCTGATTTAACATCAGCAATAGTTTGATTTGCTCATCTCCACATAGCTCTCTCCTTCCAGTCTACAGTACTCATTCTTCTCCAGGTCTTGGCTTTAAACTAAGACACCAGGCTTATCCAGAAATCAGATTTGGAAATGTGCAGTGCTGGAATCTACCAACTCAGTGATGTCCTGATGGCCCTAAAGGTAAATGCCCTGAGTCAAATAGAACATCAGGAATGTCTTTGAGAAATATCCACAGAGGAAGAAATTATTCAGAAGAAGTTCTTGAAGGAAAAGGATTGAGCATAGGGACGGGAAAATAAAGTCTGCCCCTAACAAGTGGAAGATTGCCTTTTTCCCCCTTCTAAATGTAATGCCACTTGTTGACATTGTTATATTTATGAAATATGCAGCTATCACAGTTTGCCAATTAAAAACAACAATATAGTCCAATGATTCTGATGCCAATAATTGTCAAGGTCAGAATTTGCAGTTGGTGTGGTGAGCACTCAACCTGTAGTCTAAGTGAAGTTGAATGCTGTTTTAGGGCTGCAGACCACTGGGTGGGCTTCATAGTAAAGGTGGTCCAGGAGAGGGTGACCATGAAGCTCAGAGAGTCAACCACAAGAGTACTGCTTGCACTCTTTCCAAATTCAGGGATTTCCTGATATTGTCTGGACTCAGCATGCCCCACCTTGGGTCTGTGTCATTCGTTGCACTGGTAGTCTTGTCTGAAGCTTCCTTGGCAAATGGTAGCTCTGTCCTGCCAGGAATGATGAGGAGCAGCCCAAGAACCCACTGCCCTTTGCCTACGAGCTGTCATCTGGGCTCCGAGCAGTCAGTTATCCTATGATCCAGGATGACCCTATGTGCTGGGAGGCAAAGACTTGTTCTCAGACAAGAACTTGCTAAACCACTTGACCTTTTCAACAACTGCAGAACTGTTTACCAGGAGCTGCCATCTCTCTAGCTTATCCCCTTTGGCAGCCAGGAAAATCAAGCCAGTGACACCGTGTGCTGCAGGAAACTTCTGAAAGATTCACAGCTTCCACCATCAAGTGGCGAAATTAGTCTCATTACTCAGATAGTGATCACTAGACAGGTCATCCTTTCCTAGAGTTGATTGGCTTTTGGGACCCGTTCACTGGAATCAAATGAGTCATCGTTGGAGATGAACGAACATAAATACTGATTTGCCAGGGCATCCAATTCTCTAAACTCATAAAGAAGAATAGATTAGGTTGGTTTCCAACCGCAAGCCTAAGGCAAGTGCTAATGTCTTTTTGCCAATAACAAAGAATAGTAATTCTCTTCATTTGTGCAAGTAATGTCTAAGAAATAAAGGAGCCTGCAAGTTTTATTGTAGCTTACCTGAAAATTAGGTTTCCTGTGCAAAACTACCCATGATTGATGACATACAATTGCAGGATAATGTAAGTTGAAACATAACTTGATAATGCTAATCAAAAGGGTGGTGAACTACTTGAAAACAGTGAAGTTGATTTTAAATAACTGAGCACGAAATGGAGCTTGTGTTGGTTAATTTTTTTCCATTCAATGATTTTTTTTTTTTTTTGTGGAGCTTTACTGCATGCCATGTTAGCACTGAGAATAAAGGAATGATC